TAGTCGCGACTTCACGTTCTTTGGGCGTCCCAGAAAACCGACTCGTCAATCTTCCATCCGTTTTAGCATTTTGCCCGAGGAACAAGAATTTCACGTATATGCTAGCAATGAGCACTGCAATAGCCACGATGCTAGCACTCGCCTATTATACCACATCCTATACGTTGCCTAGGCATCGAATTTGTCTTAATAATACACCACCTCAGGTTTGAATTTCAAATTTATTGTGTACATGTTAATTTTTAATTTAAACATTTTTGTTTTAGAGATTAAAGACTCTTCACTAGATAATGAGACTAGTATGCATTTATTTTTAGTTAACAAACTATTCATATTTACAATTCAACATTAGTGCACCACATTTTGTGGTAATTGGTTATCATTATCCTTGTTAAGTACAGTAAATTTAATTTTTTTAACAAACAAAAGTAATAATAAATCTCATTTTTGATCTAATTACCTGCTTTTTTGGCAGACGTTTTTACAGTCATTTCATTTATTTTTATATTTTTAGGGTTTTATGATGGCTTACTACAATTTCGAATTTGATTCTCTAAATCTCATTTTTGATCAAATTATCTGCTTTTTTTGTCAGACGTTTTCACAGCCATTTCATTTATTTTTATATTTTTTAGGGTTTTATGATGGCTTACTATAAAGTCAGGTTTAACTTTTTCCTAATAATTATTCAGAAATCGTGAGATGCAGTCTGGTGTGATGTAGCTTTCAGAAAAACATTTTCTTTATCCTGCCAACGTTTCGATCTTTATTGAGATCATCTTCAGGGCCTGGGATTTACAAACATTATTTACATTTAACAAATACATGTAGGATGTGGAAAAAAGTGAATTTATACAATGCAAAATATATTTTTTATATTCAATCAAATTATTTCTACTCACTTCAAAATCCAACATATATAAACATAAAACAGCAATATCTCACTGGCACTCTCGACACGACACGCAAGAATGGCACAATTACACAGAAGACAAACACTTTGAGTGGCCATTATGATGGCTTACTATAATTTCGAGTTTGATTCACTAAATCTCATTTTTTATCTATCGACCTGCTTTTTTGTCAGACGTTTTTACAACCATTTCATTTATTTTTATATTTTTTAGGGTTTTATGATGGCTTGCTGTAAAGTCGGGTTTGATTTCATTTTTTCCCAAAAGCGTTTCACTTTTGTGTGCTGAAATTGGGCAAGGTATCCTCGAAATCTTAAGTCTATTTTTCCAATTCTTCAACTGATCCGATCTTTCTTTTTCTAAGGTTTTTGCCATCATACTACAGCCCCATGACTTAAGGTCTAATCTAGGTACTCTCGATCTTTGTGTTAACCCTGTTTACGATGTTAGATCGAGAAAAATGATGATGGAGACTTGTAAAAATTGGCTAGTTAACATTGCTCGATCTAACAGGCCAGGGCGTCAGACCCATATTCTCACACTTTTCTTCTAAATTGAAAGCATTTGAGATAAAACAAATTCACATTTGCCTTGGTAGGGTATTCTAGCCTATTTAGCTCATCAGTTCCACACTGCCACCAACAGCTAGAGTGGTGTTAGTACACCCCTTTATTGCGGTATTGTCATCGATTGATTTATTGACCTAATTGATCTATTTTTTGACTTTTTGATATAGATGTATTATTCAGTAGTATACTTTGCCCTTTCAGAGCTGTTTTATCTCCGCTCAATACCTATAGCACACCGGTGAGTCCTAGGTCATCACGTTGTGCATCCCAAAACACTTCCACCTGCAGGCAAATGTGGCACGACAGTTTATTAGCAGGTGTGTTGGTGTTTCCTTGTAAAATGTAAATTTCTTTGTAAAATGTACACATGCCTTGTTATACCAATCTTCTTCAGATGCCCATTCAGTCTACCGGTCAGGATTCCAAGTTTTTTCCTGCTTTTGATGCATTCTGTTGTTTCTTTCCATCCAAAATTTGCTAGTAGGTCCTTGGATTGTTTATGTCCAATGAGTGAATTCCACTGTTTTCTCATTTTCATTTTGTACTTTTGGCTAAGGTACTCATTAATAGTGTGAATCCCTGTGCCACAGAAGGGCTCGAGACCTATCAGCGGTAAAGCGGCTCCTTTCCTTGCAAGGGTGTCCGCGTTCTTGTTACCCTCTACTCCCACATGTCCTGGGCCCCAGCTGAGGGTGATCTCAACTTTTTAGCGAAGCAGAATAGTGGTTTCTTTTTCCTCCATGGTTTGGCTAATTTATTGGTAGTTGTGGTGTTGCTTGTTTTTTTCAATTTTTTTCTTGACCTTATTTTGTTGTTGCCTTTTATTAATGTTGTATTAAAACATTACTGAAAGGGTCAGCTGATGATTTTAATTCGAGTTAAAGTGTACTAACATGTATAGAAGTGATAGTAGTATATAAACGCATTGCATTAATGATGCCACTGTACTTTGGTTTTATAAAACATAAATGACATAAGTAATATATAATTAATAAAAATAAAGTAAATTAATAAAAGAAATAGTTAAGTAAGATGTTCTTTATTAACATTAATTTGTTACTATAAGCAGATCTAAAAAGAAATAATTCAATCTTAATATACCAGTGAGCATGAATATTCACATTCCCAGGATGAATAAAGTTACATGCAATACATACAAATTGGGTATTACTGATCAGGGGTCAGAAGCATTTTACAATACGTTTTTCAAATTATTCTCAATAAAAATTCCATGGACTATGCTGGGTTTCGAACCCATAATGGGAGGGGAAAAGGAGGAGAGAGAGAGTGAGAGAGATTTCTTTTCCTGGTTGAGATGTTGAGGAACTTTTATTGTTTTGCACCTGGTGAATTCATCCAGTTGCCATTTCTTACGTCATATGTTTATTCAGTTCTGTTTACCGGGCTTTGTGGCAGTACTTGCCCCTCAAATTCTAAATTCGTTTTACCACAAACTCTTAGGCACTCCCAGACTTTGAGCTTGTAACATCTCACAAGCAGAATGATGACAGTGATGATAAAAGGGAGTAATTTTATTTCTTACCTTTCAGATCAGCCCGACAACATGATATTTAACCGATGCTATAATGACAGCAAACAGAGCTAAAGAATTGAGCCGAAATATATACGGAAGCATGAAAAGTACAGCTGCTATGCATCATGGGGTATGCTTTGTCTCTCAACTAGCAAAATAAAACACCTACAAGAAAACTAGACATTATCATACAATTTACATAAATATTTTATTTCATATAAGCTTTTGCTTTATGAACTTAAACTAAATTAAGCATTATCTAATTGTCATGACTGTTTTCCTTACTGATGTCACTAATTTATTAACTGTTTCATTATTTCTGTATCTCTGATAATTATTTATAATAATATAACTGTGTTTGTAGTAAACTACAACTAGTCGTGACGTGTTGATAATTTGTATGAGAATTCTTATAATTTACAGCTTGCTATTTAACTTTTAAACTTTTATTTCATTCTACAAGTAAATATAACACACCACACACTTATAACATATCTAATTGTACAAACTTTGTCTATTAATTGTTCTATTGTATTTTTTTTTCAGAATAAAGATTTCATAGACAAATTAGCATTTTGAAAGTCACATTGCTTCTACTGAAGAAAATAGTGGGAACAAATGAACCGTGACCTAACATCTAAGCCATTAATCATTTAAGTTTAATGGGTTGCAAAATAGGTATAGATTTTTGCATAAAGAAATATTTTGTTTTAAACATGTGATAAAAATTCAAATTTGTTCTTCAATAAAGAGTTAAAAGTGTACAATTTTTTTAATTACCCAAACGAATTTATAATTTGTAGTTTTCTATCCTGATCAAGATTTCAACAGAAACTGTGTTCGCTACTGCTTACAAAGATCTAATTTTCTAGCAAATCTAATATAGTTTGTTATTGGGTTGTCCAGAAAATACTGCAGGTTTATGGTTATAAAATAAAAACAATTAAATAGTTGATTTTAAACATTTTTATTAATTAAAATATCCACCATCACACTCAATACTCTTCTCCCAACATGATGGCAACTTCTCTATACCCTCCGAACAGAATTTTGAGTCTTTACTATTAAAGACATAATTTCTAACTACCTTTGAGCAATAAATGTTTTATGTTGTAAAACATTATTCAGTTGTCTGAAAAAAATGGTAGTCGGTAGGCGACAGGTCTGAATAATAGGGAGGGTGAGGGCAAATCTCATAATCAAGATCCAATAGTTTTCGTGTTGTCACATGTGAGACATGGGCCCGAGCATTGTCGTGTAACAGAATCGGCCTTTCCCGATTGACCAAAGATGGCTTCAACGTTGACAATTTCTGGTGCATTGCTTCAATTTGAGAGTAATACTATTTCGGTATTGATCGTTTTACTAGGATTCCAGAAGTTGTAGTAAATCAGTAATTTTAGATATTATNTAAATGGAGCATATATCAATAAACTTAGGGTTACTATTGATAGAGAAAAAAAAAACACAAATATAAATTATTCTAAAGAAATTGTGTCCTATAAATAAAAAGTTAAACATAATTTTTTGTTCAATTGCCACTCAAAGAGAATATGGAAATTTGAAACAAAATGTACTAAATACATGTTAAGTGGCATTAAACTTGCTATTTGTTTCATAATAGAATCTATTGTTATTCACAACCCTGGGTCTCATTTCAGCGCTCTGGTCAGGTGGATGTATCAAACTGAATTTATTCGAAAAGTGAAATGTAAATATCGAAATATAATAATTATGTATTCTGACAAAACAAATAAAACAAGGAATGAAGATGGCAGGATTTAGTCAACCAGCCAACAAAAATTCGCAAATTTTAGTAGTGATTATTAATTGAACAACTAAAACCTAATTGTGGTAAATAAAAACTGAAACACAACTCACACAGCTCATTCAGACATTCTCTAAAACGGATTGAATAAAAAAAAAAAAAAAAAAAAAAAAAAAAAAAAAAAAAAAAAAAAAAAAAAAAAAAAAAAAAACATCTAATTTTAGAAAGTTTATTTGGTATTTACATAAATGTACTTAAGAGCAACTAAGCTATTAGTTATTATGTACATTTATGTTAAAATAGAATTCACTTAAATGAATAAGTACTGTACAAAAGTAAAAGAAAAAATTATCCTGGCATATTTTAAAAATGATTTATCACAATTCTGTACTTTCTCGATGTCACACTGTTACACAACTCAGCCAGTTCTGTATTTGAGAATTAAAAGAATTTAAGTTTTACGAATCTGTGATGTTCCTGACTGCCATGTTGGACGTGAAGAAGTGGTTGCCCCCCGTGCTCCTGATGCTTTTCCTCTAGCAGCTATAAAAAATGTTTAGAAATTATACATATATAAAAAACCTGTAAATATTGATATTTTCAAAATTATTACCTTGTGCTCTAAGAATTGCAGACTTCCCACGACCAGCTCCTGTGTTGCCTTTATTACCTTGTTTTTTGAACATAGGAGCATTCTTTAGCATGTCTGGCAAAATGAGAAATCTTATTTTTGAGCCTCGAATGAATATATTTTCAAGCTGTGCAACTCTCCCATCTCTGTACGTGACGGACAGCTGTGTCATCTGACAATTCATATTGTCTTCGGCTTCGATCAATTTCCCCCTGTACACCTCTCCTGTCTTAGTCTCGCATGTGACTATATGGCCTTCAGCTTCATGCAGAACCTTTATTGGTACTCCAATCGACATTTTGAAAGAAAAGTGATCTAAAAAAAAAATTAATAAAATATATTTCGTATGAAAATCTAGTAATACACTATTGGATTGTCTGGAAAATAATGCAGTTTTTCACGTTTTAATTCATTTACCCCTATGATGGAGTATTCTTTTGTATGAATGACAACACTTTTTATTTCTCTTTCAAACAAAAATGTTTGTTTACCTCAGCAGCATTCCGTTACTTGGGAATAATTCAGTCTTTACTAAGATGTCAATGCATGATTTTCGTGTAATTTCATTTTAACAGTTTAAACTCGGTCAGAATGGTGCCAAACGGCTAGAAACATTAATGAAGTCTGGGGCGATGGCAGTGTAAGGGAGAACATGGTTGAGTGGGAGCTTTAGCCTTGAAGGCAAAGAAGAGGTTGTGGAAGGATTTCTTTCCTAGATGATGATGTTCTGTGAGCTTTGGTCAAAGAAAATCACAGCACAACTGTTCGAGAACTTTCAGAGAATCTTTCAGTTAGCAAATTGACCCTTGCTGACTACCTTAAGGCAATGGAAAAGGTGAAAAATCTCAGAAGTTGTCTTCTTCATTCATTAAACGACTTAAAAAAAAATTCTGCATAGAATCGTTACTTGGGATGAAAATTAGATTCTCTACTGACAACAGCAAACGTTGACATTGGCTCGACAAAGGAGAAGCAGCACTCCATTTTCCAAAGCCCCCAACTTATCAAAAAAAAAGGTGATGGAGACTCTTTGGTGGGCATCATTTGGGCTGATTTACAACAGCTCCTTGAATCCTGGTGAAACAATCAATGTCGAAATATATTACTCTCAAACTGAACAATGCACCAGAAAATAGCATTATGGAAGCCATCTTTGGGCATTCGAGAAAGGTCGATTTTGTTCCTCGACAATGCTCAGCTCCATGTCCCACACGGGACAACACGTAATTGATGAATCTTGATTATGAGGTTCGGACTCACCCTCCCTATTCTCCAGTCCTTTCACCTAACTACTACCATTTTTTCAGACACCTGAACAATGTTTTACAACATAAAAAATTTACTGATTAAAAGTAATTAGAAAATGCATAAAAAATTAAAAGTAATTAGAAAACAACAAAAGTTGTTAATAATAAAGACTCAAATTGCTAAGTAATGCTAGCTGAGCCAAGCATCACCAAGGCTCTATATTTTCCTTACTCATTAGTTTGGGTTGATATTACCTCTCCTGTTGCGAACCCTCATAAAAAATAAATACAATAAAGACTCAAAAATCTCTTCAGAGGGTATACAGAAGTTGCCATCATGTTGGGAGAATTGAATTGAGATTAATCGAAGTTATGTTAATTACTAAAAATGTTTTAAATCATTTATTTAATTGTAATAAGCCAGCATTATTTTCCAAACAGCTCAGTACATACAATGTTTAAATAATTAAGATAAAAATTAGAGAGCTTGACGGTTCATGTGCCATTCATACTTACCTGTGTCCGTTCATAATATCAAAATGGGGAAGCACAAGGGAATAGACAAGGAGTTTGCGGGTGCTGGTTGGGAAGAGTTGGCTTGCATGACGGAACTGGCGGAGGATGGAGAAACATTGGCAGGATAGTAGGTAAATATGGAGTTTCCAGTGCTTGATCAAGGATGATTCCTAGGTTTTGGACCGATGGATAAAAGGAGATCGGTTGGTTGTTAATGCAGAGTGGAGGAATAGTAGGGAAAACTTGGAGAAAGGAATTGGATACAAACACTATAGCCAGAGACTTATTGATATTATGAGAGTCCCAGGAGCTGATGGCATTTAGGTCCTCTTGGATTTGTTTGATTGAGATTTGAAAGTAATGAGGTGAAACGGCGAAATAGATTTGTACGTCATCCGCCTAAACTTGTCTGTACCGGAGTGCCAGTGAGTCAGGCGTAACAAGAGTCAGGAATCAGTCAATTGGAGAAAGCGCGGAAATATGGAATGAGTCTGTAGTAGTTGATGTTCTGAGGTCAGTTCTGCAGTAAGATCAACCCGAGTCTGAAGTCTGTTCGTCATCAGAAGACTCCAGCAATCCCCCACCACCAAGAACTACGACCCAGCATATTCCTACCTCGCATGAAAACTGCTGAGCAATAAACCGCTTTACCTCTTTGAAATATCCCCGGATACTTGAGAAGAGTTCTGCGCGAGAATGTATAAACTTGGAACTTGACAAAATTACTTCTCGGTCAATTTTCGGGTAATTTAAATTCATAGACAAGTTTTCAAAGCTCTGAATAACGAAGGTCGAATGTTAAAAGAAATCCAAGTGTCACGCATTAAACGTTAGAGATTGTACATTGTACGATTGTACACTGTATATTCGGCTTGTTTAGAATAATTTTGATTTTCCATTGTTTATTACTTTGAATAAAAATAAATAAAATGAAATGAAAAAAGGAGGAGTGAGCTTGGCCGGGTCGGTCCATACCTCGAGTTTTCAACCCGGGCGTTTAACAATTAATCAAACAGTTTTCACTAGGGGATTTTATTTATAAATTAAACTTTAGAAAATGTATATGATTTATTTATACTCACATAAATCCTCCTGAGAAAATAAAAACGTTTGGAACACGTTTTAAAACCCGGCGTGCGAAGGCTAGAAAAGCGGCAGTAAACAACCCGCTCAAACAGTGAACACTGAACAGCGGAACGTAAGCTCAGAACCAGTTGCTGAACGAACTGACTCATTTAATGAACGATTCATTACAGAACGGCTCATCATTCAGCTCACTTCCAACTTAATAGTTGAAAAATGCCTTAAAACATTTTTTATTATATTTAAACATTAACAATAATAAATATAATATAACTTGGTTTTAAAAACAAAGACGACATTTCTCATTCATGCCCTGAAGTTAATGAATTAAACGCGTTTTTTTTTTTTTCATGTCCTCTTCCCTCCAAAACTAAAACTCTATTTCCTCCTGCTCCTATAGATCACCAAAAATTGTCCTGCAGTTTTTCAAATATTACTCATGAAATTGGTTTAGAAGACATCCTTTCAATTAAATCTAATGTTACAGGTCCCGACCTTATTCTTATTAAACTCATCATTTTTTCCCTTAATAGTTGCTTTACCCAAGAAACCTAAACCCACCCTTGCTAGTGACGATCCTATTAGTAAATAGGATTCTTTCCCTCACTATCTAAACTATTTGAGAAGATTTTAGTTAAAATTTCATTAAATCCAACGCTACTAGATCTGATGAAATTCCTATTAAAATAATTTTTCTCTCCTTCCCATTCATCATTAAATATATAACACATTTTTTTATTTCTTCTTAACCACATCAAATTTTTCCCTCTGTGTGGAAGAAAGCTGTTGTTTTACTCTTTACTAAAGTTTCATCACCATCATTCCCAAGTGATTTTGGACCTACAAGTATTCTACCCTCATTATCTGAAGCTCTAGAAATCATTATGTTTAAACAAATTAATAACTTTCTTGATACTCATTCATTGCTTTCAGGCAGAGTTGGGCATAATCGATTGAAATGTTAATCATAATTAGTTAATCACAAAATTATTAACAATTAAAAAGTTAATTGTTAATCTAGATTGTGATTAACAATTAAAAAGTTAATTGTGAATCTAGATTGTGAATAACAATTAAAAAGTCAATTGTGAATCTAGATTTTGATTAACAATTAAAAATGTATATCTTTAATGTACATCACGATAACCCAGGTTAAGCCTGTGATTGATTAAATTAATCTGTAATCGTTGCTCCAAATTTAATTGAATTTTTAAAGTGACATTCAACCGCTATCAATGATATCAAAACAAATTTAAGCAATTAAGTGAATAGTGTTTTCATGTGTAATTCAATACTGAAAAGTTACAGTCAGAAATCTAAAACAGCAAGTAAAATTAAAGTGGCAAATTATTATACAAAGATTTTATTTTTTCAAATCATAGCTTAATATAAAACAATCTGATAACGACTATAGTGCAGTAATGTGAACAATTATTAATATAGATTAATTAATGATTAAAGATTAATTTAATCGATTTCAAGTTTAATAACGATTAATATGATTAATCAATTATTAATCTACATCCATGATTAACCTGTTTAATTGTTAATCTAATTAATCTAGATTCTTGATTAACCTGTTTAATCTATTAACATGCAAGTTAGATTAAAATCATTAATCATGAATCAGTTTACCATTAATGATTAATTGTTAATCGTTAATCGATTGAAATTTACCCAACTCTGCTTTTGGGATTGTCAACCTATTTATATGTGAAAATTAGTTTGGTTTTTTGTCCTCTAGTTAAAAATTAATATCCTCTGATTTGTCAAGCCGCAAACCAGTTGTCAAACTACCTATTAACAACTCTCATCTGACTTCTGATGTTGCTCAAATGCAATTTTGGAACCCTTATTTTTTCAATTTTTATTAACGACCTCCCTTCTTGTTTAAATTAGTTCAAATTTCACTTATATACTTACACCTAAATCTATACACAATGCCCTCTTCATTTAGTCCTTGATTCCATTCAACTCATTAACAAAGACCTTTCTAGCTTGGTTAATTGAGCTTCAAACAATGGTCTCAAACTTAACCCGCTCAAATTTCAATCGATACTTATTTACAACACAAATCTGCCAACTGAGGATTTTCCTTGCATTACTGTTGGTGACTTTTTAATATCCTTCTCTAACCAGGTAAAAACATCTTGTGTGAATTTTAATTCCAGATTATCTTGGGATGTTTATTTAGGCTTTGTGGATGAATGGGACTTTAAAGTCACTTTGGAAATATCATAAGTTTATCTCTCCGACACTTAAACTTAGATTAGTCAAATCCCTTATGAACCGTTATTAATAATTGCAGTACTATCTACTATTTTTCACTTAATCATATTTCTAATAAAAAAATTGGATTACTTTTTAATAATTGCACAAGATTAGTGTTAAAATTGTGAAAAAGAGAGCACTTCTCAACACATTTATTTGATTACCTTAAACTCTGATCTCTTATTTATTTAAAATTAAAAAATAAGCTCTGCCCATCATACTTATTCATTATATCCGATTTTAATTCTCCCCGTAGTTTAAATATTATAAAATGCTTGCATCATAAGTTCAAATTTATGAATGATTTAGAGTTGCTGGGGCACCTCTGTGGAATCCCCTTCGGGTTTTCAGGCATAAAACTGCTTTTCTTTCTTTCTTTATTTCAAGCAATCCATGATTTGATCAAACGAACATGATTTTACATGATCTTGTTGCTATTATCTTTTTCTTCTCTCTTTTCTACTTTTCCTTTATACCTACTTCTCTCCTTCATTCATTTGTTAATAGCATACAAATTTTGTTTATTAATTATTATTTCTTGCATTATATTTTGTAACCTTTTTGTTATTTTTATTTAATTATTTTCTATTTTTCTACTCGCTGTACAGGGGCCAAGTCCTATTGTGATTTTGTTTTATTGTAACAAATATATTTCTAAACAAATATCCTTATTTATTGACTCCCATGCCCTTATATTCCCTTTTCAATCAGGCTTCCAAAAATTTCATAATTGTGAGAGCCCTTCTAAAATCCCAGATGATATTCACCTAGCCATTGATGATTGCACTATCATTTTTCTACTTGATTTTTCTAATGCATTCAGCTTGATAAATCATAATTTGCTTATTGAGAAACTGGCGCTTGTTTTCGGTTATTCTTCTACCACTGCTAATCTCATCTCCTACAACTCAGGGAGTTTAAGCTTCAAATTATCCCCTTCTCTCTCAATTTCAGCTGACATACCCCAAGGCTCTATCGTTGGACCTTTACTCTTTTCCATGTTTCTAAATTATATTCCATTAGTTTCCAATTTTCATTCCAATTTCTTCTTTATGCTGATGACACTCAGCTTTACTTTTAATGTCCTACAAGCAAAATCACTGAAGTTGTCTCTCTGCTCAACCATGACCTTCATTCTATGGTTCAAGTAACGTCATTCTTTTAAACTCTAATAAATCCCAGTCCTCATTAATGTCCGCAAATCCATTAATACAGATTGCATATCCCATATTCATTTTTTTTTCTAAAGTTAAAAATCTCGACTTTATTTTTAACTCCAAGCTTATATGGCATGACCATGTGAACTCTATTATTAAAAAAGTCTACTCATGCTCCATTCTCTTCCACACCTTAGCTTTTTCACTACCCAGAAAACTAGAGTTCTCCTTATTAAACCCCTAATAATTCCTTTATTCTCTATATAGAGCTAAATTCAGAAGAGAGGAGGTTGTCTTAAGATGGTTGAGAATTGGGCATTGTAAGACCACCAAGGATCACCTAATGGATCACGACCCCTACCAATATGCGGGGTGTGCAATGGTATAAACATATTTTGTTGTCATGTCGTACTTATAGTGAACAAGAACAGACTATTCCCTCTTGGATACACTATATGAAATATTGAGAATATTACAAAACTATTCTGATTTCTGAGCTGCCAATCTAATCAATAAAATATGAGGCACGGTAGTATTGCCACCTTGAGTATCAATTAGAAGTTAGTAATCAACAGAAGAGTTAAGACTCTTCTAGGTGAGTGAGGGGCCAGGGACGGTTGGTGGTGTGCCTGGCCGACTTGGAGGACAGGCAATCGTTTTTTTTTTTGTTTTTTTTTTTTTAATTTTACGAAACCCCAGGCAAAAAGGTTTGGAAGGCCATGCACACATCTACACTCCTTCAAACTCCGTGGAAGTAAATATGAATAAGTGATCTAAAGATTGCCTCTCAGGCCGCCTGGTTCACCTGCTGCTGGTTTGTATCCACGCCATCCTGAATAGTGCTCCCTTTACAAAGTTTTGAGGCACATATAACCCTTGAGGTTTTAGTCATGAGTTTTTGCCTTTGAAGCAAAATATTGTTGTATTTTTTGAATATATTTTGGAAGGATTTATTTATATTATGGTAAAATGTTTGTGTTCTGCACAAAATATACAATTTTCAATTAAATAAATTTGAACACTTTATTTTTTTTTTATAAATTGTAACATACCGATGATTTTAGGCTTCTCAATATGTACTATCCTAAAATGCAACACTTTTGTTTGTACAATATTTTTTTACTTATTGTTCAATAAAATATATTATTACAATGATATGCATCCCATATACTTACATAATTTACAAGTAAATATAATCTTGTTTAAATTGTAGAAATTATTCAATTTATGTACAAACAAAATGGTAAAGCAGTTATATTTTTAGAGTGCCTAGTTATACGTATAACAGCAAAGATGTAATTGGCACTTTATTCTCAACAATTCAACAACTTTAAATCAAAATATCAAAATTCAATATATATATATTAGCACATTGGTCAGTTATAACAATTATTGCATGAATCACTTAAATTTCCAACATAATGGATCCAGAATGATTTTACCTGGAAGAGCTTCTTTTCAATATATTGGGAATGTAATAACACATAAATTTCTAATGTAATGGAACATAAATAGTTTGACGTATATTAACAACAAATTTATTCAATTACTTTTTCATTTTTATGTTCACTCATAAATGATGGTAAAAGATAAATATTCTTATATAACAAGACTTGGTTTTACATCAAAAATTTATGGAATTTTTGATTTAGTAATTGGATGTATACATCTTTAACAGTAATAAATAATTGTATTAAAAATTAAAACAACATCACATAAAAGTCACACAGCCATTAAAAACATAAATTTGAAATTATTAATCTTTTTTAATTTAAAAACTCAACTTTTGATAAATTTTAAATTCACTAGTTTTCGTGGTCCGCTTGACCAATTAATATCTTTCAATAATTTTGATAAATTATTATAAATTTAATAACAAAGGAAGATTTACAATTTCTTTTTTTTTCTTAATTTGTTTTTACTTTCTTTTACTTTCAAGGCTTTCGGCTAAAATGTTGAACTCAATCAAAACAATAAAATCGCCAAGATCAGCATTGAGGTTTTATTTATTACTTTGCCTATACAGTTCTACCTTTCACGGGGCTTCAAGGCTGCTAGGAGCTAGAATCATACTCACATATACGCTTGTCTTAGTATATGGTTTTATACTTATACATATAGACTTATGGTTTTTCAATCAAGTTCAACATTTTAAATGGAACATAGTTTAAAACAAAAAATATAAGAGTATATAATTAATAAATTTTTAAAGGGTTTGTTTATCCGATTTCTACATTGCAAGGAAGCCTACAATTAGTTTTGTGCAATAATTACAATTTAGTCTGCTCATTTACTCATAACTTTTTCAAAAAATACAATAATAAATAAACAAGGAAGCATAGGTAAAATTATATTAAGTCTTAATCAAATAATATCACAGTTCTAAAATTATAATCTTGACTTGCAATGAATGATATCCCATAATTTTTTTTTTTAATTTACTTACTCCTGTTTCTTTTTTTTAGTGTCAATAAAAATAATAATCAATCATTTAACATTGTTCAATACAATAAATATAACAATAATAGCCCATCCTCACTATATTGGTAATAACATAACCTAAATGTATAATTAATCTGTAAATAAATAAATAATAAATAACTCTTGTTTTTAAGGTAAATATTGAATGAAATGATGACCTAACGAAAATAAAGCAATTTAATGCTGAAATTTTTGTGATAGTACCATTGTGATCACTCTTATGGCATCAAGGCAGTTTAATTTTTGGTTGTTAAATTATCATTTTCAAATGTGAGGAATTGAGTGAAGATGGTTTCTTTCTAAGCACAGAAAACTTACTGTTCTATTTTTTTTCATAGTTTATATATTAAACAAAAAAAATGGATGGATTTAAATGCAGTCTCAAATTTATACATTTTTTAATGAGATTTAAATAAATTTGACTTGTTTCATTTCACGAAAATTTTGCTACATTTATGGATTATACACATTTATACATTCTAAGACCATTGAGACGGTTTTTTAAATACTCGTTGAATGATTGTGTTTGATGACATTCTTTTTTTGTTCCCCACTTTTTATTGTAAATGTAACAAAATAACGTTTACTCTTGTCAAGTTTTTCTGTCGGTAACGTGATGATTTGTTTGTCGGGACCATGACTCAATTCCAATGTCAACGGCCTCGATGGATCAACATAGCGAAGAGTTTTAGCGACTTCCCCATGATTTTCGTCATTAACCAACTTCGGAAGGAATCCTGTGTATGGTGCTGGTTTTTGCATTGTATGGTGATTGGATTTTGTTACTGGAATATATTAGAAAAATTCAAATTAAACACTGACATGAATCTGTATGTTTGTTGTTTACAGATTACCAAAATTACTATTCACTATGTTTTATTCGACTTGTTATTGACATTGTACATGGCTACTATGGACGATTACTGATTACTAATTTATGTAAGATGACACATATGTACAGAGCTAAGCCTACCATTTTTCACAGTCTGCTGGCGTTTTCCAGCTTTTGTATATACAATAATGTGCCAGCTGGCATCGAGAACCACCCACCCCAGTTGTTGGCAGTCAGGAGTAAGACCTGGGTCCTATCTGTTCAACCACTGAGGTTGGGCTCCAGGGGCTATGAACAGGTATGTCATTTAGCCCCCAACACAATCAATCTCAATCCAAATCCAATTACTCTTAAATACAATCATTCCTATTTACACAAGACTCACTCAATTAGGTTGGTGGAGTACTCAATATTCTGCCATCAGCCCACTCACAATCTACATTCAAATAATTAACACATTCAGTCTCAACATACACAAAGAAATACTAAAACAGCCCTGTTTCTTATAAAAATCGGAACAAAGGACCTGGGGATATTGCTGCTGTGTCCAACCACAATTCTCATATTGAGTGGCATTCTTATATACTCTCTGTATAGAGCCAAGGAAGCAGGCGTTAGCCCAAAAGTGTCCATGTATCAACCTATGGCCTATCCTTAACTGGGTGAGGATGACCTTCTTCGAGTCAGGTCCTCCAAGGGCCACCCATTGACAGTGCTCTTGATACGTGAGAGGTTCTCTGCTGACCTGGCCTACTGACACTTTTTCTTCATCATGCTTTTCAGTGCATTTTTGTCGTCAGAGAGCCGCTTCACAGTGGTCAGGCTTGGTCTTAGCCACCTCATCCATCTTTTCATTATTCTCCGAATCTATGTGTTTAGGGAGGCCCAAACAACAACCACCATTTGGCTGAACTGGTCTAGTTTGATATCTCTTTAACAAGAAGGAAAGATCTGTCACAGGCAGTAGTAACTGCGATGAGAGAATTGGTGCAAACAAGGTAAGCAGAGCCACCAAGTAATTTATGTTACATTTTTACACTAAATACTAATTATTTAACGTGTTTTCTCTTTGAATTAAAAATTTACAAAGAATACAGTGTAAAAAGAATGAACCATTAAGAAGATTGAAGATTCATCAAAGATCTTTGATTCCTTACAATTTCTCTAGATAATTTACAAGAAATTTACCAAAATATTTAATATCTTTAGATCAAAATATAGTTTTCCTAAATGGTTTAAGTTGTGTCATTAATTAAAAATATATTTTGAAGGATTGTAAACTTACTATAAGCTGCACATGGTATACCCGTGTAGGCGTGCGTAGCATGGTGGCACCTGTGTGTCCTATACGTACACAATGCTGGATTATTTGGAACCGACGCTAAGATTTCTTGTCCAGCTCTTGTCTTTTTGAGAGCAGCTGTCAATCTTTCCAAGTCATCAGTCGATTTCAACCTCGGTATAATCCTTTTTTCTGACGACTGAAGAAGCCTCAGTTGTTCTGAAATATATTACTGACCAATTACACAATTCTATAAAGAAGAAAAAACTTAATTTTCCTACCATATAGATATTTCTCAAATGATCTAAATGTATAAACACCATCATATTGTTGCAAACCGAGCATAAGCCCTGCACGTCGATAATCGTCTACAAGCCTTTTAACAAGAACAGCTTCTGAAGCTCTACCTGCTCTTATCTGAAGACGCTTCAATTCAAGAAGTTGATGAAATATCCTTCTTTCTAAATGGTACCTATATTAAAATAAATATATAAATATATTGGCCGATATTTGATTATTGTAATAAATTTGTGTAGATTCAAAAGTTAATTTGCTTTCAGCATGTATGTGTAGTGTAGCTTATCTGTGTGTCTTATGTAAATTAAACACTGGCTGAGAATAATAGTTTTTGAATTTTTTTGTATTTATAAAATACCTACTTTCTTACACTATACTGAACAGCCTGAGTGACTGAAACGGTAGAAAAAGTTGTTTCTTGCTCAGATTCATGCCCTTTTCTACAAACTCTTGGAATTCTACTTCTATCTTTTGATTTAGATCCTATAAAATGAAATAAAATCGTTTCAGATTATCACCTAAATTTAAATAAATTTTATTCAAGAGTTTACTTTTTGCAGAACCTCTGTCCCTTCTTGGGGAAGGTTCAATCCCTGAGTCCAGTAAATGTGGCGATTCGCCGCCTGTCAGTGTCTTTGTTGACTGAGATAAATCATCTTCATTATCATCTAATCCAGTTGGTAAATTTAAGACTTCAAAGCTTTCCCTTGATCTACCTTTTCTCCAATTCCTATCTTCTCTTCGTTTTTTCATCTTCCTTCTTTTTTCGTCCTTATTGTCATTTTGTGCATTTATATCGTCATCAAGTACTTTTATCAAACCTTTGTCGCTGTTAATTAATGTCCTTGCTATATCATCATCATCATTTAACACTTTGAAAGGTTCATTCTCAAAATTATCATTTGGCATGGTAGAATCTATGGGGATAACTTTTTTTTCCATTTCATTTTTCATTAGATTCTTTAAATCTTCGTTTTCTGGTTCGTCGAATGACATTTTCTGTTGAAGTTCATTATGTAAGGATGGATCAGCAGTTTCTTCATTAATAATGACATCGTTTGCTTTGTCAATTTCATGGGCAAGTTCTTTGCCGTTTTCCTTTATTTCGCTTTCTTTTGAATCTATTACCTGATGACTTGAAATCTCAACATCTAGATTATCATCCTCATTTGCACTATCATCCATCGATTTACCATCACCATCCTCTTTTTCTTGTAAAACTGTTTCCTTGATTACATCACTTTCCTCAATCACGCCATCATTATTACAACTAACTTCTGTATCAATCTGTTCATTGGTTTTTGTCAAATCTTGATTTGGATTTTCTGATTCAATAAAATTTTCTGAAATGTTTGGCACTATTTCTAAAGCATCATTTATTTTTTCACCAACTTCTAATGTTTCAGTTGCTAAATTATGTACATTTGAACCACCAGTATCAGATTTTCTATCATCATCTATGTTGCTTTCGTTTTCTTTTTTTCCCTCATTTTGCTCACTTCGTATTTCATCTTCTACAGCATCATCTTTCTCAGGTACATCAGACTGTTGGACGGAATAGATTTCTTCTGTTCTTTCTCTTAGAGCTGTGTTTTCTTCCAACTCGGGCTGGATTGAATTGTCCTCTCTGGATGTTTCAACTTTTCCATTTTCTTTATCAATTAAAGGGATTGAATCATTCACAATACTTTCTTCTTCATTATTTTTAAAAGGCTCGGCTTCACTATGAACTATGGCAGTAATGATTTGAACATTAGGATTTAACTTTTCAGGAGTGACAATTTGTTCACTGCTTGTCATCTCAGGATTAATGGTAGTTTCTTCATTTCCAGTAATCCCAACATAATCTGATGAAACGTTCTTCACAATTTGGTAGTCCTCATCAATCGATGCTATCATAACTCCATTACCTGATTCTTTAAGTTCTGTTTGAATTGATACAGATTCAGTCCCTTGTAGTCCTGATTCGTTTGTTACAGCTAGAGCTTCAGTTTGAACAATTTGATCCAAGTTGACTTTCCCTTCACTGACATGCTGCCTTGATGATTTTGGCCTTTCGTTAAGACTGTCGGTGTTTTCTTCACTGCTGAGAGACTGTTTTTTTTGGGCTGATACATCACCTCTGATGTTGTGATCTTTTTCGGATAACTTTTTAGTTTTTCTTTTTCTCCTTCTCCTTCTCACTCTTTCTTCAATACTACTGTCGCTACCTTCATGATGTCTTATACGCCTTATCATCACATCATCCTCCACGTACACCTATGGGCAGCAATAAATCATCTAATTTAAAAATGAGTAATTGTGACTGATTTTTTTATATTTTTATTAAGGGTTTATTATTTTACCATTTCACTCTTTTACAAATCATTTATTTGAATTAAGAGCGCCTACCCTACACCATATTTAATTTAGCGTTTTATGAAATGAAAATCTAACCTGTAATATCCTAGGGCGACTAGACATTGTTATTTCTTTGTGAGTAGTAATAGTAGTAGCGTTAGTATCGTTAGTGACATTTTTAGACTCCTTCACTTCTGTTGTTTCATTGACTTTAACATCATCAGATTCATTTTTTGCTTCACTATGCGTAGACAATATCCTAAAATTAATATTAAGTAGCAAACTATCTTTTTCAAAATTTTTTGATCTATTTCTTGTTTAATGTTTTTTATTTATTTATTTTTTACTTTATCAATACAGCATAGCATAATGCTAAATGTCTTTAAGCTTGACATTAAAAGGGAAAAAGTAATCTTTTATCTAAATGTACCTGCTGTTTAATCCTCTCAAACCAGCAGATTCACTGTTTAACCTACTCGCCGGAACACCGCCGTGTAATTGCAGATATTTTGCACAACCCCTGTGTCCTTTGTGCAAAGCTGTGTCTAATGGTGTGGCCAGTGCTCCTTTACTTGTGCGCATTACAGGGTTCACTAGAGACCCAGAATCAAGCAGAGCCTAAGACAAAAAAAAACTTGTATGTTTAATTTTTACGTTGTTATCAAACATTACATACTTTACACATTTCAATGTTGTTATGAATGGATGCTACATGAAGTGGACACCGCCCATCATTATTAGGGGCATTCACCGCATCAGGGCGGTCGTTGAGAAGCCACTGAACGAGGGCGATTCTACCAGAAGCCACAGCGTCATGCAACGGGTAGTCACCTCTCACCGTCCTCTGCCAAAGATTCCCTCCCCAATTTCCTACAACTTTCAAAGTTTCTATCTGGCCTTTTGCTGCCCCACAATGAACCGTCCTGTAAATAAATACCTTTAATAATTTTAATTAATTATACTTTTAATTTTCATTTATTAAGGTTTTAAGTTGAGATAAAAAAGTCAGTGTCACGAGCAGAATTCGAACCCACGACTTCGGCTTGATACGCCGCTACTCTACCACTTGAGCTATTGTGACTTTGATCCCCTCAGGCACTAACTTCCCATCTCAACCCCACCTTTTGAATTTTTCTTCCTTTTTGCCATTTTTCAAATGTCGTGTAATTGGATTGGATTCTCGGCGACAAATGAAATGGCCACGGAGAGCTTTAGTGAAGAATACTTCAATTTAATTCATTAAATCCACTATTTTTTGTGGTCCGCTTGACCAATTAATAACATTCAATTAATTAAGATTTTAAGTTGAGATAAAAAAGTCAGTGTCACGAGCGGGATTTGAACCCACGACCTTCGGCTTGATACGCCGCTACTCTACCACTTGAGCTATCGTGACTTCGATACCCTCGGGCACTAACTTCCCATCTCAACCCCACTTTTTTTTGAAAAATGGCAAAAAGGAGGGAAAATTCAAAAGGCGCGTAGAGTAGCGGCGTAACATGCCGAAGGTCGTGGGTTCAAATCCCGCTCGTGACACTGACTTTTTTATCTCAACTTAAAATCTTAATTAATTGAATGTTATTAATTGGTCAAGCGGACCACGAAAAATAGTGAATATACTTTTAATCTACAATCTTGGTTGAGATTAAAAGTATAATTAATTACAATAATTAATACGGTCAATTATGACTATAAAATTGATTGGATTAAAATTTGATAATTTTTGAGTTAATACTGAAAACGCACGTTCTCCCTTTTCTGTCTTGGCGATTTGTATTTGCACCATGGTTTAAAAGGCTTTGAGTCGCATCAGCATGTCCAAGGGTTACAGCATAAAATAAAGCGGAACAACCGTTATTATCTATCACATCAACTTCAGCATTGCAAAGAGAAATCAATGTCTCAACACAATCCGTATGACCTCTTGATCCAGCACAATGAAGAGCTAAAAATGTCAAACAAATTAATAAGCTATTAAGATGAACCAGTAATAAATGAGTAAACATCTAACCAGTCAAACCATCTTTATCAGCAGCTTCGACGCTTGCTCCTGCATTGACCAAAACAAGAATTGCTTCTGAACTTCCTGTTTACCAATAACATTAAATAACAGCTTTCAAATAATAAAAGGCATAAGACATAAACAAAAGAATATTATAACACAATTGAAATCTCATCTAAATATGACACTCAAACATTTTGTAAACATTTTCTCTTGTGGTCTGCAGGGTGATAAACCTATTGTTTGACCGTCACCTATCATCCTAGTCTACCTATTCTCACTGATTTTTGTTGGTCCAGATGCCATTTGGCATTTCGCCATCTTCAGACTTTCGGATTCAGATTGAATGAATGAAACAAACATGAATCACCCAAACACTGAGATAGCAAAATGCTGAAATGTGTTTGAACCAACAAAAATCAGTAAGAATAGTCAGACCATGATAATGGTAACTATCAAACAATTTTGTAAACAGTTTAGTTCACATTGAACAACACAAGCTTGAAAGAAATGTAAATGTTACATCAATTTGGATTAAATCATCATATAATTTTTTTGTGTGATATCTATTCATATGTATTAACTAAGAATGAAATAAAAGTTAAGCTGATGATACAAATTTATACAGTGCGTGTCATAGTACTCATTGAGTCATAGCAGTATATTTATTGTTTTTATGAAACTGTGTTATTACTATACTAATTTTGTTTTTCACTCACCTGCACTTGCAGCCCATAAAATTGGTTGCCGGCCATGATTATCAGGTAAATTTGGGTCTGCACCCTTGTCCAATAGGATCCTAAGAGCTGCCATGCCTAATCTGCGATCCGCTGGCATTTCGGATCCCGGTCCACACATTTGAGCCGCATAGTGTAGCGGGCATCCTCCATGCATATCACCCAAATTTGGATTTCCACCTTTGGATAATACCAACTCAAGACTGTCGATTTCACCACAAACTTGAAATCACAAGAAAAACAAATCAAACTTTTTTTCCCCCAAAAAATGCTGACAGATATTAAGCCAGTAGTATTTAACACACATGAATAAACTGTGAATAAACATAAAAAAATAAGTATTTGTTAAAAAAAAAAAAAAAATAACATTGGTAGTTTAAACAATCTAAAGACAGCCTATCATGATTTTCAGTGACTGTTCGTTATTTTGTCAATCATTCTTTTTTTATAAATTCACTACTTTCGTGGTCCGCTTGACCAATTAATACATGACAATTAATTAAGACTTTTAGTTGAGATGAAAAAAAGTCAATGGCACGAGCGGGATTTGAACCCACGATCTTCGGCTAGATACGCCGCTGCTCTACCACTTGAGCTATCGTGACCTCGATCCACTCGGACATCGACTTCCTATCTCAACCCCACCTTATGAGTTTTCCCTCCTTTTGCCATTTTTCGGCGTATCTAGCCGAAGATCGTGGGTTCGATTCCTGCTCGTGCCATTGACTTTTTTTCATCTCAACTAAAAGCCTTTTTTTATAAGTTCATAAAATAAACAAGATAAGACTTTTGTCTTTTGGTATTTTATTTTGAAGAATTTGAATCCTCTTGATCATGTTTTGGTGGCAATCTCCAGATCTCACTGCCATAGAGCAAGACCTAGAAGAGATAGAGAGCGTCCCATTCTCTGCCTTTAATTTTGACTTTCTATTTAGTAATGGATAAAAAAAGGGTTGTGTTTCTTGTTGCTTTGAAGTTCCATGTCAGGCTTTTGCCCATGGTGATTCCCAGATTATTTTACTGCCTTGTCTTTAGAGTGCCAGGCTATACAATCTACATCCATTTTCAGTTTCAATTTTGGGTTTCCATTTCTTAAAGTAAGTGCCCATTTCACTTAAGGATGTTTGGACTCTGCTGGCATTTTGTACAATACAATTTATTGAGTATATAAATTTTTTCACGTTGTCGATGATGGTAATATCATGGAATCTAGAAATCTAGAAACAATCAACAATCAACATCTAGAAATTAATCAGGATCTGGGAAAGAACCGATCCCTGTGGAGAGCCCATGTGGATATTTTGGGAAACAAAGCTATTTATCCATCCCAAACATTTTGATCACGTATATAAATATTATATTAAAAAGATGTAAGATGTAATGTTCGAGGTGTGCAATATACTGCACCCTTTGAAACCTATTGTATCTATTGCACACCGGTGAATTGTAGTTCATCAAGAAACTTGATTAGTAGGTCAGGTTTTGGTGGTTGAATTTCTTCTATGGTTATGCTGTACAATACATCCCAAAACACTTCCTTCTATGGGCACATATGGCACCACAGAATGTTAGTAGGTGTGTTTGTGTACTCTGCTTCTTTGAAGAATCTGCACATGCCGTGTTGGGATATACCAATCTTCTTCAGATGCTCATTCAGACTACAGTATCATGTCAGGATTCCAAGTTTTTTCATGCTTCCTTTTATGCATTCTGTTGTTTCTTTCCTTCCAAAACTCGCTAGAAGGTTCTTGGATTGTGCATGTCTGATGAGTGAATTCCATTGATTCCTCATTTTGATTTTGTATAAGATAATCATTGATAATGTAAATCCCTATGCCACAGAAGGGCTCAGGGATTATCAGCAGTGTAGCAGCCCCTTTCCTCGTTGTCCTCTACTCCTAAACATCCTGGGACCCAGCATAGGGTGACTTTCTTTGGCATACCTAATCTGTTTACTTTTTGTTTGGCAATTCACTACCATCTTTGAGCTAATGATGTTTGAGCTTAGTGTTTAGATGGCTCTAGATTTGACATTGCTGTATTCTTCTTTTTGTATCTTTTGTTCAAATTGGTACATCTCTCAATTACATGGACTTCAGCCTGGAAGATACTGGTGTATTTTCCCATCGGTTCTGAGTATTGGGTTTCAGGATTGAACACTCCTGCCCTGTACCATATTAAAGCGCTACCTCAGGTTATATTTCAGTTCATACAGTATGCCAGTATGCCACACCCTGTCAAAAGTCTGTCTCAGGTTGAGGAATACTTGTTTGAATATGGTTTCACCTTGAACCTTCTGATCAAGTTGTTGAATGCCCTTGCTTAAATCCAATCTGAAATCATTTAAGGGAGGTAGGACTCTGGTCTTGATTAGTTTGGTTAGATCTAAGCATGTAGCCATCAAGGTTTTGCTTGTATTTTCTCAGGCTGAGAATGCTCTCAGGTGGAGGATAGTTAGTAATTTCATTTTAGCCTTTGGGCAGTTGCTTGATTACTGTGACTGCACATTTCCTGACATTTCCAGCTTTTTCTATTTTTAAGGCTGTTTTTTTCTCATTGGTCAGTTTTTGATGGGAGATATATTTGATTGGTAACTCTGAGTTGATTTTCATCTTCATTCATTTGATAAGTGATTTGTAAAAAAAGTAACTAATTCTATCATCAAGACTTTGAAGACAAAAAAATGTAATATGATCTTACATGATCTAAGCAAAGCCTTTGACACAATTGATCATGAAATATTACTATGGAAATTTGAATATTTTGGAATGAGAGAAAATGCATTGTTTTTAGTCAAACTTTTTAAAAGGTATGGCACAAGTGACATCAAAAGATACTAAATCTAATCAATTAGAGATAAAGCGTGGTGTTCTCAAGGATCAATACTAGGGCCAATGTTTTTTATTTTTTATGTTAACAATATTTACCATTTCATAAAGGAAATGTACAGTAATTTAATAATATTTCAATTGACGACTAAAGCTTTTTGAGTAAAATGTTTTATTTTAAAAATATATTAGAAAGCGTTTATGACTATTTTTATGCAAATCTGTTGGTTTTGAATGCACAGAAAAATCATTTTATTAGCTTTGAAGTAACAAAAACAGAATATACAACTGTAAATTTTCTTGGTTTTATACTTGACAGTTCTTTAAAATGACATAAACAAAATAATATTTTATGTAAAATAATAATAATGAAAGTTTATGTTATCTACAGGCTGAGAGGCATAGTTGACATCGATACACACAGGAAAGTTTATATAGGTTTATTCCAGGTAATCTTCATGTATGGTGTATTGGTATGGACAAATGGATCATATCCAGAAAAAGTGCTTATTAAAAAAAAAAAAACTGTTCAAGAAACTTGTACATTAAACAAAGCATAGAAAGATTTCCAAAGGTTGCAGAGGTCACAAGCAAGGATACAAGAGATAGCACTGGCCTACTAGTGTCATTTTGGGGAGAAAAAAATGCATAATAAACTCGACAAGATGGTAAAAACATGGCAAAGAAAAAGTTATTACAAATGTTAAAAGGCACCTTACTTAACAATCATTGCTGAGTATGAAAATACTGAGTGTTTAAAGTCTATGCTGTAAGATATTTTCTGTGAATAAGTGTTTCCGTCATAAAATGTTTTAATATTATATTATTATTTGATATTTGTATTATACAGTTTTTTTACAGAATGTTAGGTTGTTATATTGTATTTTTATTTTTTTAGAGTATTATATTTTTAAGTATGATAATACAGGCAATTTGTTAAAGGTCATTAATTGAGACAGTACAAGTATGTACTCCAAGCATTACAATTTGTATAACAAACTTTATGTCCAGATCCATTACCTCTTTACCATATTATGCATTTTTAAAAATCAGATGTGATATTTTTTCCTTCGATGTTCCGCCTACACCCATAAATGGAAAATCTAAATCTTCTTGTGCGAAACCATAACGATTCATTTTTTTATATCTCATCATATCCCGCGATGAAAAATTGAATATTGGTGTAGTATCTTGAATTTGAAGTCATCATCCAAAGGATTTTCATTTTCTCTTAAACCTTGAAACCTTTATTAGAAGTAAAAACCATGCAACGTTTATCTTAAAGAAAATGGCGGCTGATAGAAAACATCGCAAAGAAAAAAAAAACGAAATAGTTATCGTTATGAGTGTATCGATAAATCGATTCCAACCAGATTGTAGCTCAGTATGTTGACTCTTCTTAAACACTGCGTTGTTAAGAAATTCAATGAGTCAGCCATCGCAAGCCACTCACGAAAGTGGAAAACTGTTAAATAATTCATGTAGCTCTTGCAAGAGTTGACTTACCGTAAATGGCTCCTGTTTTTCCTGTAGACTGTATTTAATTCGTATTTCGTATACAAGCCAATGAGTTCTTTTTGATCACGAAACCCCGAGACAAGTTGGAATAACATTGGGGTAAAAAACTGAGATTAATACTGGCGTATTTGTCTTTGTGAAAAATTTCCTAACATAAGATTTGAATTTAGATATTTATCAAGAAGAATAAGAAAAAATGTCTTGATTAATGAAGAAAGCCCTTCGGCTTTTACTTTGCCCGACCGGCCTTCGTGTCCTCGACAGTTTAGGCTCAGATGATAAGATTAGCGGATGAAAATCAGGTCTCTTTCTTTGGCGAGATCTTGTTTCGACAAATAAATAAAATAGGCCAACTACCGAATGGTGAAACTTAAAATTCTACCGTCTACCACTGTGTTAAAAAAGTCAATACACTAGATTCCGCTTATAACAATGCCGGGCCTAAAGATATAAACTGCTAGTGAAGTTTAGCTTTTACTACCGTCAGTTAAATTTGTCCGGAAATAATTATGCCGCATACCACGATATTCCTTATGTATTGGTAACAAAATGCAAGACCTGTTCTCTATCCGGATTCCGAGTACGACGTGAATTTTCCTAGAAACTAATGGCCACTTGTCAATCAACCTTGCTAGAAGAGGAACTACAAGATCATAATTGTCCGAGAACCTATAATAGGGATAACAAGACTTACTCTAGAGATCCCAGCCATAGTAAACTCGTAGTTAAAGAACCCTCATCAAAACAGGCAAACGTATTGCTAAATTAGACCGAGTAAAAGGAGGGTGGTACGATATAAACCGGCCAGTGGTATTAGAGGAAACACCTACATATAGGCATATTCAATGATGACTTTCTTCAACAAAGGAGAATCAAACCAGGATACAAAGGAAATTTGGGTAACGAGCTGACAAACTGGCAAAGGAGGAACTGCAAGACGATAGTAGTCTCAGAGCCTAAAATTAGGATAACAAGACTAACTCTAGAGGGCCAGACATAATGAACTCCTCAGTTAAAGAACCTTCATCAAAACTAGCCAACCCATTGCTGCAATTAACATTCAGGAGAGTAATAGCGCTACATACCGGTCACTGGCATCAGAGAAAACACCCACACAAGGGTGTATTCAATGAGGATCCATATTTTAGTTTATACGACGAGAAGGAAGAAACTGCCACCAATATCTTCGATTGCAAAGCATCATCTCAACCTAGACATTACGTAAGGTACCATGATGACCTAGAAAAACAGCCAATGATCTCGTTCTTGAATGGAAAATCAAGAACGGATTAATAAAGAAATTTTCTGTAATGAACAAGCTGACAAACTGGGTAAAAGAGGAACTGCAAGACCAACTGTGGGATGAGATCCTATAAATGGGATAATCAAATATAAAATCCTTCATTTCAGAATGCGTCCACAAAACACGAGGGAAAATGGACCACTCTAGAGGTTCCAGACATAACAGAATTTTATTGCTTTGTTGAAACATTGATTATTTTACTATTTATATATGCATGTGCGTTCTCCCCTGACTGTCTTGCGACCATGGGAAAAGCCTGCTTAAATCATATTATATACCTCGATTGATCTAATGAGCAGATATTACAATATCAACAATTCAATACGAATAAAGGCAAATTTTATAATAAGATTTTTGGTGGTGACTCGTATATGTACGTACGTCCAAACGAGGAAGGGATGAGGTATGATCAAGTTGAGCAGTTAGCCCTTAAGAGGTTGGACTATTTATATTACATTTTTGATTTGTTAGACCCCCAAAGGTCGATTAATATTGTAAAGTCCGTTGTTTCCGTGTCATCAATGATTGATGTTCGACCGGTCGTTGGATATCTTCGTTTGTGCCATCCGGTTTTGTAAGATTCACGTTGTTTATTAGCAATAAATTAGCAGATGCTGTCGGATTATTGAAGCGGTTCAAAGAGGTATTTGAATCAAGGCCAGTCGGCTCACAATCGATCACCCATCTTCATTATGGGCTTCGTTCCCGCTCCTTGAAAATATTGACACTACTCCCGCACCCCCGCGCTCACCATCGAATTCAAGCGGAAATTCGCGCCGGAACAAAACTTTTCACAAGCTTCTCCGGCCAATCCTAAAGTTTCCATATCGGTAATCAATCCGGCCGTTTTGTCATAATTTCATTCTGTATCAATTATGTGCCATCTAGAGGATTTGAAAACTTCTGTTACGGATTTTCCATGCAATGAGAACATCAATAGTCATTTTTAAGAAATTTCATAAAAGGTGTCATTGTGTGGTCTAGGGGGTGATGAACCGGTCATTTTCTACCTATCCTCGCTGCTTGGTCTGTCTGTCGCGTTTCAGCTTCTCGTCATCTTCAGCAGGACTGATAAACAGACCACCAGCGAGAGAGCGAAATCAGTTTAACTAACCGATAAAGTTTATCAATTTACTAAATCTTGATTCTATCTAGAAAAGACTACGGAAACATCTTCTATAGGAACGCTGCGAAAACCCATCTTGATCGACTGGACAGATTACAAAACAGTAGCAGGATGTTGCCAGATTGGAGACATGACATCCACCCTCACAAATGCCTTTGTGGTCGAAGCCGGACTAAATTGCATTTAAGAAGAGAAATATTAGCCGGGAAATATTTGTCTTTTAGATTAGAAGACAAGGCACCAGGTGATTCGAACCCTCACCCAATAAGCTTCAGTACAGAAAACGCAGGACTCTCGAGGACCTTTGCTGGTTCTTGGACGAAAGAACTCAGCTTGAGAAAAGTAATGTTTTCGACAAAGGATACAGTTCCTTGGGAAGTACAAAATAACATTGAAAGGTCATTACGCTATATAAGGACGAGCTAATACACCTGACTTTGTCAAATATTGCCATTAAAGATGACGTTGCCTTTCAGCGCCGGTACTGTACGCGTATAGTGTGCACTAAGCAGTCGGGCCCAAATCCCCCAGTGAACAGGAACCTGCTGCTCTGAATATTGCCAATAGCATTGCGGTTCAAATCAGATTGCCACAAATTTGCTCTGACTGTACAGCTTGAGGCCATAAAGTACATAGCGGAACAGCGCAGCCGAACATCAGTCCTAATGGACAGCCTCAGTGTGTTTTCCGCGGTTAGAGGCAACAACTATAAGTTCTCGTTGATTACAGCAATTAAACAACGCTTGATGGATTTAATAAAAAAAGAGTACGGATAATTTCCTGATTTGCGGAAAAGCAGTGGTCAGGGTTACCGACATAATTTCACATATAAACAAATATGCAAGCGAAAAATGGCAAGAGGAGACATGACAAATATACTAAAAGGGAAGGTATTCAACCTGCAATACCACCCAAACCAAGGTTCAGCAACACAGGAGCAACGAATTTTTTCACTTCCATTTGTAGACCCCGACTGAACCACAACCGTTTGACATACCATCTCTATAAAATCGGCATAAAATACAGCCCAGATAATGAATGTGACTAGGAAACATTAGCGGACCAAGATCATATTATTCTTTCGTCCTGTCCCCTTACTTCCAAAAAGAGAGCCTTACTGTATTCCGCTGTTTTGAGAAGTGGCCAGTCCTGCCTACGAAAAAAACAACATCATTTTAAGCAACATAAATAAATCCCAAATCAGATATGCTACTGATTTTTCGTCTTGACATCCTAAAAAATAGGAAAAGAAAAATACGAAACTAATATAAACATTTTATGGTTTTCCTGACCCTGCCTAATCTAACCTTAACCTGACTATCGACTAATGAAAATTATCAGGACTGTACTGATCAATTTATCATTTATCCCAAATAGATGAAATTTCGTAAAAAAATTATTTATTTCAGGCCCTTTCATGCATTTATAAAAAGCTATATTTTCTAATTAGAACTGGGTTTTATAAAATGGATGTTTTTATTTATATTTTGATCCTTGATGATGAATTTTCGGGTAATTGGGGCTTCGCACTTGCATATTTTCTTAGCTTTACTGAAAAATACCGAATAATGGATATATAACCTAACGTTTCCAATCCTAACCTAACTTAACCATACCTTAACCATCGATGAATGACCATCATCAAAACTATACTTATCTATTTATTATTAGCAAAAATTGATGAAGTTTCGTAAAAACATATTGTACACTTCTTTTTTTTTCACTAGCCTTAACCAAACTTAAGCCAGCCTAACCTAACCCGCCACTAATCCTAGTCTTTGGGAATGTATTTTTATAAACATCTAGCGTAAAATTGGAATCACAGAAAGCGCTGATGTTTTGTTTACAAATAATATAAAAATGATCCCAATATATTTAATTTTTTGGGTGGCTAGACTTGATTTTAAAAGGTTTTTGTCAATAAATCTTATTTAATATTGATAATATCTTTAAATATGGTAATATAATATCAATAAACCACTTCGAATATGGAATTTGTACTAGGAAACCCATGGAAAAGAAAATACAATTCCCATTCTAGAGACGATAAAAATCATTTTGAATTTAAATTAACTTAGAAAATGCAAATTGCATCTGATTCCACCCATTCATTGTTCACAGACTGAAAGTCAAAAAAATTAGTCACATTATTGCGTGTAGGACTGCAGTAATTGAGGGCCATAACATCAGGCTCAAGGCTTCACCGGCTTATCTCAGACCTCTCCCTATGGCCGACCGGCATTATCGTTGGCGTGATGGCCAAAGTAAATCCGGTTAAAGTGTACGTCAGAGGTATCGAACCGTTTCCCAAGAAAGCGATGACCAAGGGCCGGCTTTAAGCTCATACAGCCAAGGTCGCGATAGCACGACCTACCTTCACGTCGGCTTTAAGATGTTAGCTTTCCAAACACGTTAAGAACAGTCAAGATCTATTGTTTGAAACTAGTGTCAATCATTGATTGATTTAAGCAAAACCAACCGTACAAAATGACAACCTCAAGTCCCACAACCGAAAACTGTGGAAACTTACATAAATTCTTAAAACGAAACGGTAATCAAACTTTAAATAGAATAAGATTCAAAATGGTGTATTTCTATAGGGATGGACAGATACAAAATAATTAAACAGTTGAAGAAATATGTATGAATAAAAAATGAGGCCACTTTTAGATCTTTCTTTAGCCCCCCCCCTTAGATTAGACACATTGCTCTTATAAGATCAGATTTTCTACAAATTTATCAGAATTATTGTTATTTATAAAACATTAGAGATAGTGGGATTTTTGATATATGGTAAATCAAAACGTATCGGGCTTGATTCTCGTACCAACCAGTACTGGCACTCAATGAAGGAGGTTCCTTAACCATGTCGAGGGGGTATCGAGGCCATCGTCGTTTAAGTCGGCTTGAACTTCGGGATGTGAAAGGTTAGTGTGAAACGTTCGATCAGTTCATTAACAAAAAGATTGTTGGTATTGTGTGAAGTTAGTGGTGTAGTAAGGAGTTTTGACAATTTGAGGACTTTAACTGGAAGCTGGATATTGGAATGCTTAGCGGAATACCACAGTTCCACTACGTATGTCTGAAGTGGTCGCAGTAATGTTTTAAATAGGATTAGTTAAGTTTTGACATGTTCAAAATGCATTCAATGTTCATGTTGTTTACCTGTTGCCCAGTGTGCAGGCGTATGACCCTCGTTGTCCGGGGCGTTGACTGGTGCACCCCGCGAAAGGAGAAGCCTTGCGAGTGGAATGTTTCCAGCGATGACGGCCAAATGGAGCGGCGAATATCCATCCTGATCCTGGGACGAGACAAGCTGCGGCGAGGCGTCGAGCAGCGCTTGGGCACTTTTCACCCCGCCGTCGCCGCTTTCGGCGCAGTAGTGCAAAGCCGTCTTCAGACTCCTTTCTCTTTCGTTTACCGATCTCGGCTGCATCACAACAATAATTAAATAACATCTTCAAAAAACCCTTGTATAACTAGGAAATTCAACGAAACATTGATTTAACCTATGCTTCTATATTCTCTTGGGCGTGATTATGCGGCTTTCATGGAATATCCAAATTTAAACTAGGGCAATTATATGTCATTTTTTTATGCCTTAAAACCCAACGAAATGACACGTACATACTGCCAATACAGAAGGTCAACGAAAAAGATTCATTGTTATTACTAACATATTTAGTTTCACTTGTTTTGTTTATGTGCAGTCAATCATTCTACCGAATTTCACGTGATTTGTTCTGTGAAACTGGGTGTAAAAACTCTTCACGACAACTGTCAATAGAGACTTGGAGATTTATCCGACAGGGAAGTTGGGAACAGAAGTAATGGCTGTTTATCACCTTCCACAAGAAACCCATCCTCATCAACAGAGAGAGATCCTGAAGGGAGAATATTTTGCACAGTTTCAACCATTCGACATACTCGTTATTACCCCATTGAAGTCTTAAATTAATAATTATGTTAGTAAATTATTTACTATTTAATAAATTTCGTCTGATCACCTTCACGTAGTTAAGATAGATTGAATACCCCAGGAAACGCAAACCAAGCTACAGTACCCAAGTATGCTCTGAACCAACCCAAAATATCAAAGTTTTAATACAACAATATTCCGGAAACGTGATGTATTCTTCTTGATGAAACCCAAGTTTCTATTTCTCTTGGCCAGAACTAAATTAACATTCGGAGAAAATGAACACGCAGAGTCAAAGTTACTCTCAAATCACCAATCTCAGACATTCCATTCAATCGAGATCCCAGTAAAGAGTAGGAGGAGTGTTCCTCCTATAAAAAGAGATAAACAAACATTTGTCAAGATTAAGAGAAACTACATTCCTCAGACACCAAGAGGCAAACATAGTCTTACATAAGCAGACCGTTTTATTGCCAAGCCATCGTTGAATGAACATCATCACACCTACACTGATCAGTTTGTGGATTTATACAACTTATTCACTAATCTAACCTAACCCAGCATAACCTAACCCTACCTAACCTAATCCAACTCAACACAACCAAAACCTAACCCTACCCTTACCTAACAATCGACGAATGAACACCATCAGAACTATACTGATCTATTTATGATTTAGTCAAATCGAAGAAGTTTCGTTAAAAAATCGTTTACTTCAGACCCCTTCCATTTGTAAAAAACTATCTTTTCTAATTACAAATGGATTAACAATTGTCTTTTTTTGTCCATATTATGATCCTCGATGATGGATTTTCGTATATTTAACTTCCCCTAAACATAACTATTCCTAACCCTAACCCTAACCCAACCGAGACAACCTAACCCTAACCAAACCAGTCCTAACCTGACCTAACTATTCCTAATCTAAACCAAACCTAAACTAGTCAAACTATTCTGTCACTAACCCTTACCTTATATAACGTAACCTTTCCTAACATTAACCTAACCATTACCTTATATAACCTAACTATTCGTAACCCTAACTCTAGCCTAAGGTAATCAATCCATAAAACTTTAGGTAACCATAATCCACCCTAACTTAACACAGCATAATCCACACAACCTAAACTTACGCGAAACTGTCACCCCCTCCCCAAAAAAAGTGTATCGACTCCGAAAACACATCCGTGTTAAAAAGTGCAGCATCAAATGAAATGAATCTTAGCACAAAATAAGCAACGAGGGTGAACAAATTCCATTAGCAAATACCTTTTCCCTTGGCTCTAGGCTAAAAAAGTGATTAATTCAGAATTCAAAAACTGAAAAAATGGCTGATTGGAAGAAACGCCTCTCTGTGTCGGGACAATAAGCACATGTTTGATAAGAAAATCTTACTATCAAGATTTTGATATATTTTTTCAGGGTAATTTGCATACTCAGAGGTACCTGAGCGAAGTTCATTTTATAGATAAATGATCAAAATAGGCGTTTACAACAAGCTAATCGTCCGGGATCATGCTCGGCCAACGACAGCTCCTTTCTATGCAATTTGTTACATCGCATCAGGCAGTGTAAATGGGCTAACACCTATCAACTTTTAACCTCGCATAGCCATTTTAAACGGACACTGGGTCAGACAAGTTGGGACGAGCGTTATCCTGGTATAAAACGATCCCATTGGGATTAGCCAATTCTAGTCGTTTTGAGTCAACTGTTGACTTCAATCGCTCCAATCTAAAATTAACGGTTTGTTTGGGTGGGAGAAGCTCTTAATTCATGAAACCCACGTTCAATCCCAACAAATACTCTTGGGTTGTGATGCGGCTTTTATAATTGTTAAAAGTGGGTTGTTGCATTTTTCCCAGGATTTTCCTCTCTCCAAATCGAACTTCCCGATCCTGAACTAGCATACCACTTACGGACTGTGCTTCTCCTAAAGCGCCATCACTACAAACAATACAAATTTTCCTAGCAGTCTGTGTCGCTGCTTTCTCATTGCGACGGTAAAAAACAACCATCAAAAGACGAAAATGAACTTTTTCCTTTATTTTAAATTAACAAAATATCTTGCATAAATAGACTCTAGATTGAAACAGAAGAATTATTCATTTGATTTTCAAACTTGTGCATAAAATTAAAATACAGCTACTTGTTATATTTCAGTTACTGTACCTTCCCGCTGATAATATCAATTACCACCGGAATAAAAATACACGAAAGGTTGGATTTCCGTCTTTAAATTAAATATTCATTAAAATCGGCTTCGTGCCGTTCACTCTTCTTCGGTTATTGTCCTGCCTTTATCGATTAAATCATTTAAAATATGTAAAACACTATTATGACTATTTGGATCAGGCTTTATCTGCAAATTAAATGGTACGAATACAAAAGCAAATAATCGTATGAACTGGTTTTAAAATATTTAACCCTAAAACAGCTCGCAAGCAATAACTCCTTGTTAAAACTAACAATACGGAAAATTATAGGTCTCCGTACGGGTATAATTTTCACATAAAGAGGATGAGCAAATCAGAGAGAAACATGCGATGCATTTAGAAAAATGTACTGAGAAGGAGGAGGAATAAACCTCGAAATGCATCTACCTAAGAACTAAAGAAACGTTGGAAAAGCTTATGAAGTTTTTATAAACCAAATTAAAAAATATCTAACAAAAAAAGAAGCAAGAAAGATTTTTTTGTAGCCTGTATATATTAGTATTGTATACAATTCAAATGAGATCACAGTACTTTATTCACGGTCAAGCACTAATGCCAGCGCTTCACCCGGAAGACACATGCCATGATAAACCAGCTAATGCTGGGACTTAGTGTGAGGGATTAGGGGGCAAGGAGGTCTCGAGGCCATCGTCGTTGCGGGTTATCGGGATGGGTTTGTGTAAAACGGGCTCGTGCAGTAGGGTTACGATGGACCCAGAGGTTAGTTTGAAACTTTCGGAATCGGGATCAGTTCTTTGACAAAAGGAAGTTGAGGTCGATAGTGAAGTTAGTGAATTAAGGAGCTTTGACCATTTATCTGAGGACTTTTGATTAGAAGGATTGGATGCGCTGGTTTGGAGTTTTGGACGTCTTGGCAGAGACCCACAGTTCCATTCCGTATGTGGTCGTAGTAAAGTCTTGTATAAGGTTAGTTTAGTGTTGACGGTCAAAACGGATTTCGGCCCTAGAAGTCTTCGTAGCTGTCCAAGTCTTCTGTGAAGTTGTGTGTTGTCTTGTGTATCTCTGTTCTACTGACTAAGTATAGTCCGAAGTATTTGATTTGAATGGAAGTCGGTGTTTCTTTGTTGTTACTGTCCAGAGGAGGGCACGACAGTTTTTTCAATGTGAACGTACACTTGATACTTTTTCGTCATTCATTCTCATCCACCATGTTTTGCACTGTCTCCGTAAAGCTCAACGAGTACTTGTATGTTGTAAATTGCTTAGCTCGGTGTGCAGGTAGGTGAGCAGTATAGATGATATGAAGGATGGGACCAAGAACATTCTCTTGTGGGACGCCGGATCGTATCAGTTTGATTTCCCAGAACTCGTTGCAGCACCTCACTCTTAAGCAGCGGTCGGTTAGATAGGATATCAGCATAAGATAACAAGCAGTGGGTAGTTTTAAGCTTTTAAGTTTATAAAGATATATATAAAAATTTTCATAACCAATTTCCATACCACCTTGCCAAAATTGGTATTGTGGACAGCGCCAGTTGTGGATGCGAAGCGGACCATTGCCGATTCAAACCACGTTATCCTGGCATGCACAAGAAACACGATGGACAGGGAGGTTTTGTTCTCAGAACTAAAAAAAATGGAATAAAATTCCCAACAAAAATGGATATCGTACTCTCGGACACAAGAAACATCCCGGTTCTCGATGCACTCGTAGCCTTTATAAATAAGAACAATATGCATATTTGACAACATGAAGTACATACGGCAGGAACGAATAAAAAATTAGTTTGACTCGTTTGTGGCGTGGGGTTGTCCGGGGACGGGTGGGTTTGGGTGGTGCTGGACTGTGGGGTCGGGTGCCATAAGCGGCTTGGGCGTGTTTTGCCCCGGATTCTCTGGGGATGTGGTCTTTTCCATGGTGTTGTAAATGGTTTTTATCCACATCCCCGAAAATGGAAACCGTATATAGGCCCTAAAAAGAAATAAATAAGCATGAGTGCTGTCCCTTTAGGCAGGCTTGGGCATTCTCCCGCTTTCCGGCTGCGCCTTGCTTGCCCCTTCGGGCTTCCACATGCTGCGAAGGAGAGAAAAAAAAGAAATGGCGGATGCTCAAACGGCGATGCCAAAAAAAAGTTTATAAAGTATATCTAGGTGCCAGACCCTATCAAACACCTGTGCGACATCTAGGAGCGCACCCAACCTTGAGCAGAGGACATAGGGTCGACAATTCTGACACCTTGATGGATTGTAGAAAGATGTGGTCAGAAGCAGAACTGGTGAGAGGGAATTGTTTTATAAGCATCTAGGATGGCGATTAATCGCTTTAAAAGGAGCCTTTCGAATATGTTTGACATTGAAGGAAGAAGACTGATCTGCAGGAGGATATGTAGTTGGGATGTTTGTGAGCTTTAGGAATAAGAACATCGACGGAATATTTCCATGAGAAAAACTAGTGATTGGTTCATAGGATGGCATTATACATCGTGGTTAAGAAAACTATGCCTTGTAATGGAACAGAATTATGGAAGGTTTTGTAGTATGAAAAAAGTAAATTTTCGTTTCTGCAATTGGGGCCAATTTCTAGGGAGAAACTTTGCTGTCAAGTCAATTATAATGATCCCATTCATTTTCGTTTAGTCCGTTGTGAAATGGTGCCTGCCCATTACTGATTGTTCGAGTGACTAGGAAACGGAAAACTTCCTATTATACTGGTATATAAGATTTTGTTTCGATTTTAAAAAATAATGTTTTAATCGTGTCATATTTAGAAAATATCTGTAAAAACTATCATCTAAAATCGTTTCTTCGGAAAAGTTCAACAGATTTAAAAAACTCAAGGAAAAAAAGAAGTCCACCTTTCTGACAATCCTCTACCTTGACTTAACCGATTGTGGTATTGTTGATACACCCGGCAAATTGCCTTTCATATAGAAAGGAGAAAATCGTAGTATCAAGAAAAACCAATTTTATTCCATGTAACTTAAAGATCTGCCCTTTTCCTAATCGACAATTTTACCACACCTTTACCAAAAATAAATTAAAATCCAGTTTAATTCTCACCTTGGCATTGATAATTTTGATGACGTCGCCTTCTTTGCCTTGTTGACAAGCGTACATTAGGGAAGTTGCTCCGAACCTTTGGTTGGAGGGTTCACCAGTCATAATCTTATCTCACTGATTCACACTGCAAAAGAAATTCAAAACAATGTAAATTTATTGAGGACAGAAATTTAACGTTCGGTGTGAGAAGAGAAGATGTTAGTCCAAAAAGCAAATTCTGAGTTACACAGAGGCTATTTTTTTTTCTTTTTAAACGAGGGTTCGCAACAGCATAGGTTATATCAACCCTCGGTGTGCCGGTGTTTTTGAAAAAAAGCTCATTTGTAAGCATGTCGTGTTCGAATGCAGGGCCGCTGGATTCGAACCCGGGACCTTTACCTTACTCATGAGCGCCGTGTCAACGCCTAAACCGTTGCGGCCACCAACGCCCCCACACAGAGGCTAATTTGAATGTACAATTCCTCAATGTCAAATTATAAAAATAGTGAGTGTAAATAAATCACTGAACTATGGTTAGGGATGTTTAGGGAAGTTAGAGATGGTTGGGGAGGCAATTATGAGAATGAAATGCAGGAAAACATAACTATAATGAGTATAAGCATTATAAGATAACTCTATAAGAGCTGTAAAGGGACTAGGAAGGGATGGGGGAAAATAAAAGAAAGATGTGGTGGTTAAGAACTTAGAGATGTAAGGTCTGGAACGAGATGGCTTGGGTGGCAAATATGAGAATAAAGGGCTGGAAAGCAAAAGTATAATGAGCAAATGTAGTATAAGATAACCCTGTACAAGCTTTAAACGCACTAGTATCAGAGAAAAAACAAAACAAAGGCGTAATGGTTAGAAAACTTAAAGAAGGTTAGGGCTGGTCAGACATGACTTGGGAAGCAAGTTATGAGAACAAAAGGCTGGAAAGCATAAGCATAATGAGCATAATTAGTACGAGATAACTCTGTAAAAGCTTTAAAGGGACCAGAAACAAAACAAAAAAAGAAATGAAAGACATTATTGTTAGGATAATTAGAGATGGTTTCGAAGGCTACGTTGGTCTTTTTGTGTTTTTCCTAATTGGTATATATACGCATATGTGTGTTCTGTTAATTATGTTATTATTTATTTAATCTGGATTGACTTATATGTACATAAATACTGATTTATTATTTGCTTCTTTTTAGATTTAAATGTGTTTTTTTGGGAATAAGAATTTTTTCTCCACTTTAATAAGCGTCGTTTTATTGAATTGTTAAGTATTTTATTTTATGATCTTGGATGTAAAAGATCTGTTAGATTTATCTTTTCTCAAGAATGTAATTTTGTCTGGAAAACAAGGTTTGTTAAAAATGACGCTCACAATAAAATTTTATGTATATATAAAACTATTTTGTGCTTGAAAGCATGCAAAACCAGTCTAATCAGGCTTTAAAAGTAGTAAATGGACAGAAGCCGAGACTATAAATTAAAAAGAGTATATGACCTAAAAATAGCTACATAAAGGTGAACCAAAAATCCATAAAATACTCAGTCATATACGAATGAATATGTGGGATAATAGCAGTAAAGGAAGAACCACACAGCTCGGTCAAAATCCGTCTGAAGTTAAAATACATGTCAATCAAAAATGCTCAATTTTGTACTTTAAAATAAATTCACTAATTTCGTGGCCCGCTTGACCAATTAATATATTACAATTAATTAAGGTTTTTAGTTGAGATAAAAAAGTCAATGGCACGAGCGGGATTCGCACCCACGTTCTTCGGCTAGATACGCCGCTCCTCTACCACTTGAGCTATCTTGACCTCGATCCACTCGGACACTAACTTCAAAAAGGAGGGAAAATTCAAAAGGTGGGGTTGAGATGGGAAATTACTGTCCGAGTGGATCGAGGTCATGATAGCTCAAGGAGCAGCGGCGTATCTAGCCGAAGAACGTGGGTTCGAATCCCGCTCGTGCCATTGACTTTTTTATCTCAACTAAAAACCTAAATTAACTTTAAAATAAAGTTTAAACTTAATAAAGTTTAACCTGACTGAGAACTTTTAGTTTTTGTTTTCTCTAGTTTTGAAGTTTTTTGCAACAAATATTTCAGAATGATTCAGCCTGGTGCAAATTTCGGTCCACTTTTCCCAACCTTTATTGAAATGTACAAGACATTTTTACAATGTGTTCAGTAGAGTCTAAACTCTTCTGTGATTGGTTTTTGAGATAAGTATTAAATACGTGTTAAAAAATCTTTATAGTGTCATCAAAACAAAGTTTATTTACTTTTTGTTTTAATTCCATTAAATTTGTATTTGCATTATCATCGCCGGATTGTTTAAACAATGTTTGTAATGTTAAATAAATTATTCCTTAAATTTTTTCGTACTAAGAGCAAGTAATTTACTTTAAATTGGTTCTTGGTTGAAAACGATTTTTTTTAATAATTTGAGAACGGATGCTCCAAAGTTTTCGTGTCTACCTCCGACATTCCATTGTAAAGTTATTGTGTGTTTACTTCTTACTGTTGTTTTTTAATCTAATTTTTATAAAAGAGGTAAGTTTAAGCATATATTTATTACTCGTAATCCAAATTATGTGCTTCTACACCTGAAATGCAACAAAAAAGTGCGTTGAACCATGGTCCGATTCTCAACCCTTTCGCAGATATTTAACATTTTATTTTTTATTTATTTATTTTTTTCGACTATCTAAGGTATTCGTCATAAATTTACTCATAGCTCTTGAAATATTCATTTTTGGGAAAATTAAAAAAAAGGAAGCATAAAGAAGGAAAAATTTGACCATTTTTCTAATTTGCTTGTTCACCATGTTTGTGGTTACTTTTTTGTGTGTTCTGTTTGATATTTACGTTGAAGTTTTCTTTCTATTTGTGCTTTTTTTATTAGGCTAATGTTTATGTGGCTTCTGTTGAAGTTGCAAATTTAGTTTTTTTTACAAATTTTAGATTTGGAAGTTGTTGAAAGATTAGCAATTTTTTGCCAAAACTTAAATTGAATGTTCTACAAGGATGCCTTCTTAAAGGAAATTTAACGCTCTTTCCAATACATTGTTTGGATTTCCCCCAAAAAGATTAATTCAAGAGCTACGAGTAGATTTATGACGAACTTTTTTTTAGTGCATTTGAGGTGTCAAATCACCCTGTATAAAGAATGTCCTATATTTTCTTTTCCTTCCATTAATTTATGAATTTTTTCACCATGGCCAGCGCCGCCTACCTCAGCATCCGGAGATCCGCTATGGATTTTTTTTGACCATTCTTAATGGTTCGGCCAAAAAATGTAATTTTATTCCATAGCGTTTCCCCGAAATAAATTGACGCTTAAACAGGCGACCTCTCGATAGAACCATACTTTTGGCCTTATCCAAAAAATTCTTTACTGCATAAATTATGTACTAAAAAAAATCCAACAAAACACAAAAAAAAATGAGGGAATAAACTGTGAAGCTCAAAAGCTGCATGTAAAATTTATAACGAAAACCGTAGACAATAAAAAACAAAAATAAAATGTTGAATATCTGCGAAAGGGTTGAGACTCGGACCATGGTTCATACGAACTTTTTTGTTGCATTTCAGGTGTAGAAGCACCTGACCAACTTAGCCCTTCGAGTAATGAATTTAAATCTTATATGTTTACAGTAGAACACCGAAAAATAAAAAAAAAGATTATAACATTTTTTTGCTTTATTTCTTTAATATCTTGCCACTGTACAAGATGTTGAGCACCACTAACTACTGCTCCGCCGTACTGACCTATCAGCGCTCCCGACACCATGACCCCGACCTCAGGGAAGCACGACAGCTCATCTTATATATTTAAATTACATTTTTTATGAATTTAAATATCAATTTGTAAATCAATAAAATTTCTGAAGCTATCATTGTTTCAAAGTTGAATGGATCGTCAATGAGATTACATTCAAAAATTTCTGCTAGGAAAGTTTCTCTGATTTCGTGGTATTCCTCGCAATCAAAAAGTAAATGCTTTAAATACCGGGGGTGTTTTATTAAGATTTGGGAATAATACCCTGTAGAAAGACCCCTTTTCAACTGTACCATAAATATATTGCCACTTTTTGATCGAGTTTATTGAAAAACCTTTTAAAATTGTACATCTACAACGTAGCGGACGGCAGAACCCCAACCAGATACGTCAAATTCTGGGAGTGAAAACCCAACAAAACGGAAAGCAAAGATAGTAAACTACATTTTTATCTTTTTTGAAGCTTGATTTCCCTTTGAATCATAAAAGAGTAACTTTTGTTTCGATCTATTTTTTAAACTGAAGAATCTGAAGTGTCTCAGTTGAAGAGTAACAAAATTACGATGGTTATGAACGTCCGCATGATACCACTGCTATAGGTAATGATTGTGACACAATTCGTTATGATTATAATTTTGCTAGTAATTTTTTATATCATTTTTAGCTGGCATTTCTCACAAAGAAAGTCAATTTGAACATTGGGAGAAAGAAGACATTAGTCTATTAAACTCTTCGCCTCCAACGACACCTGAAAAATATTTTAATGAGTGGAGACCCCCAGTACCTCCAATTATATTTTTGGGCAGTCCAGGACTGAAAATTATTCCCGAAGCAAATATGCCCGTCGGCTTTTTAAAAAATAATTTGCACAAATGAACTTGTAGAACGTATTGCCAAGGGCAATGAATATTTATTAGCGCAATTAAACATTATTAAATTAAATTGTGACACTTATAAAATGATCATCGGAAACGATTTTATAAAATTTCTGGGAATACTTGAATAAGTATTGTCAGTTTTAATCGATTTTCGGATTTGCTGGAGCCTGGAGGACTATTTTTAATAAATTGCTCTTTAGAAAATTTATCTCTAAGAATGGATAATCACTAATCCGTAAGATTTTCTAGAAAGCTTTCGGATGACAAATTGAAAAAAAAATCCCTTTAGTAAATAATTTTAATTCTGTCATTCCCTTGCCTGTCTTCAGAAACCTGCGAACCACCTCTAAACTTTAGAAGGGACAAACTTGGTGCGAAGTCTATTTATAAGTTCTTTTCAATTAATTAAGGTTTTGGTTGAGATAAAAAAGTGAGTGTCACAAGCGGGATTCGAACCCACAACCTTCGGCTAAATACTCTGCTACTCTACCACTTGAGCTATCGTGACTTCGATCCACTCGGACGATAACTTCCCATCTCAACCTCAGCTTTTGAATTTTCCCTCCTAATCTATTTGATTCTCGGCGACGTAGCCCAATACGACCACTATCAATAAAGCAATCGTACATATTGTGTGTACCACCAAAATGTGCTCTTCGGTTCATTTTGAATGGAATACGTAATGCAACGAATATGTACTATTGTAAAATTTATTTACTTCCAGGAATTAAGATTTGCTCTCATAATATTATATGTACATTATATTAAATTGACTTGCATTCAAATAATGAAAAAATAGTTTAAAATAACATATATAATATAAAAGAATGTTTAATATAATCAAAAATAATATAACATAAGATAAAAATTAATAATTAAATTCATTAACTAAATAATATCTGTAACGTCAAGTGGAGCGGGAATAATTGACAAGATTCAAACTGTCAACAGTGTTTATAGCATATCTTTTAATTTTGTTTCTGTAAGAGGGGACGTCAAGGTGTCGCATGCTGAATTCTGCTTACACTGGATATATAGCCAAAAAAATAAACCCATCCTCTCTTGCCCCTAATTTACCCAATAAACATAGCTCAACCCTCCTTTCAACCCATTGAGAGGATTTTAGTTAAAGTAATTCACCCCTCATTTTAAATAGCCAACCCTTAAGTTAATCGCCAGTTCATTCGTGAATGAAAACATTCACATTCAACGTCCAGCTGTTTATGGAAGGTGAACCTAAGTGATTCTCTTATCACGTCAGATAGCCAAGCAGCCATCAAAGTACTGAGCTCAAATATCATTAGTTCAAAGATGGTGTTGAACTGCATAACCAAATTAAACATATCAGGTACGCAGAACAAAGTCAGCGTCTGCTGGGTCTCAGGGCACATGGGAGTAGAAGGCAACGAGAAAGCGGACACAGCTGCTACACCGCTGACAGGACCCGAACCCTTCTGTGGCATAGGAACCCAGACTATCAAGGATCTCGGACAGAAGGGCAAAAAGAAAATGAAGGAACAATGGAATTCACTCATTGGACATAGGCAATCCAAGAATCTCCTAACAAATTTCGGAAGAAAAGAAATTAGAGAATGTGCCAAAGGAAGCAGGAATAAACTGCGAATCCTAATAGGATTCTTAACAGGACACTGCAAGCTAAATGGACAATTAAAGAATATTAAGAGGAGACACCAACACCTACTAACAAATTGCGGTGCTACACTGGCCCGCCGGAGGAAGTGCCTTGGGATGTACAATGAGATCATAGAAGAGATTCAACCAATGAAACCGGGCGTATTAATCAAGTTCCTTGATGAAATAGGACTCACCGATGTGCTTTAGGTAGAGAACAGGGGATAAAATAGCTAAGGGCGCAGTATATTATTACATCTACATCTACGTGATTCTCTAGCATTCGTTAAAGACTTTTCCCGAAGTATTATTTTCATTTTTAATATTAAATTTGTTAGTTGGTTTTCCGCACCATCTAATGAAGGACTGAATCGAAACGGTATTTTTGAAAAAGATTCTACCAACTCTGAAACCAAACAAGAACCCTCAGTACTGTTTATTAGATGGAATGAATATTAGATGATGTATTCCACATAATTGAAGGGTTGCATGCCTTGGCTCCATTATTCCATTATTATTTCCACTTTATCGTATACGCTCTTAATAGAGCGTTTAGGATAAAGTTCAAATATTGTGTCCTATGATTTTGAATATTGTGTCGTAAGATTGTATGTATTTATTAGCGTGAATGTATGAATTGTGAGCCGATGGTAGAATATTGACTACCTATCAACCTCTCGGTACTGCGTATTGGATGGAAAAAAGGTTGTTTGATTTGGTCCATGTAATTTAAGGGTGGTATGCATTGGTTCCATATAAAGAACGTGTAGGAATGACACCTCCATTGAGAATTGAGCTTGAGTACGGCAGCGAATATCTAGATCCTCCAGTTCCGATTCTTGGAGGAAACAGGGTTGTTTTATTGTGTGTAGTAATGATAGTTTTCTGTCCCTAGCGTGAGTTGAGAGTGAATGTGTAGTGTGAGAGGGCCTATGGCGGAATATTGTGTACTCCACCACCCTGAGTTAATAATATGCAAATAGGAAAGAGTGTACATAAGAGTGAGTTAGAGTGGTTTTGAAATGAGACTGATTGCGTTGTGGCACGGTCAATTATGTAGGAGGAATAGTACTCCACTACCCCTCAGTGAATGGTTTGTGAGTAAGAACGTATGTGGATGGATTTATGAACTGATTGCGTTGGGTGCTGAATTGACCTAACTGTAGAAAGCATCCAGAGCCCAACCACGGCGGCTGGACGGATAAGACCGCGGAATGGCGCCGGTCTGCCAACACCCGAGGTGGGTGATCCTCGAGATCTGACGGTAAATTTTTGTAATTTACAAAAGTATGAATTGCCGGTGGACTGCGAGAAGTGATAGTCTCAACTCAACAGCATGTGCAGATTTGAGCTTATATAAGTCAGTAATCAGTTATCAGAACGGCCATATTGGACGTGTGCTGTAGCACAGTGTTTTTTTTAAGTTTCCATTTTTGACGTTAAAGTCGAAAGAACGTCTGAGCCATCAGTTAAAGTTCTGTTAGCGATCAACGCCGTTTAATTACAAATTTCAAAACAGAATAATAATGACACTCAAAAATACAGCTCTGCAACTTAATGGTCATTATAGGACTTTCGGCTGACTATGGCATTTTGCAACAACGCAAATTACACATGTTAAAATGCACATGTGACTCGTTTACCTAAGAATCAACTTAATCGATTAAAGTAGAAAATTTCTAATGGTTATAAACAAATCAAAACATTGGTTTGTGTGATGCTTCTAATCGATTTTCAATAGCAATTTCGGTTTTTACCTTCAAGCCCAAATGGAAGAATTCACTAAGTAAAATTCTCCAGCGAGATTTAAAAAATCTTATCAGGGCCCATGACCATTTTTGCGTGATAAGCATTTTTTATCCAATTAGGCAAATGATGAACGTTAAAATAAGCCTAGAGCATTACAACAGGTATAAAACCATTCATCACCGATCGACCTAGATATCGCACGTCCTATTGTAAGGCCAAATCTAAAAAATTCGGGAACCAACTTTGACATGATGCTGGAATGAAATCGGCGAAATTTAATATATAAGTATTTATTCCCCCTAGGAAATACGTAGTGATTTCATAAAAGTGGCCTGTACTCTATGAGGTCTTCTGTAATCTAAAATAATCAAGTGTAATCTTCTTTAAAGATAAGTGAGATTGAACACGAAGTTCTGCTTTATTTTCGACTGACTTTAAGGGTCCGCCTCTGCCCAATTGTCGAATTTCTGCTTATGAAAGCTCAAACCCGCAATGGGCCTAAACCAGAAACCTGGTGTAACAATTTGGTGCATAGATTTTTTTTTATAGTGTGATCTAAGAATAAGGGTGTTCCACACTAAGGGTTAAAGGGGTTAAAGAGTTAAAAGTGATACATATAAAATTATAATATAAGCTGAGAGATCACAAGAAATTGGGAGGGGGTTTAAAGGAATATGGTAAATCGGTAGTCCTTCAGACACTTAAGACAAGCTTCCCGCCGTTTTCAGACTAAACGTAAATCTACTCAACAACGAAGATGGCAAAACGATGATAAGTAGATCATGATTAAATTAAAAAATACAAACGGAGGAGACAAATTGCCTTTGAAATTTGACCATTTTTCAATGTTAATAAAACGTATCCATTTTTATACCATGGTATGACTTTTCAGTAAAAACAAGAAATATTCAACCTTAATTTAAACCTTTCCATTTTCCTGTTTTGCCAGCTAATTTTTACGTTACTTCAAGATAAATGGTAGTCATTAATCCGCCTTTGTCTACCATTAATCTCAGAGATAATGTTTTTCTTCAAATTTATATGACAAAATGTCTTTTATTTAAACATATTATGTTGCAACTTTTCTGCCTTTTAGTTCTTAAATATTTTTTAAAAAAATAATGTTATTTATTAGATTATTAAATGTATTTAAGATATTTTGAGATTTCTAAAATTATATTTTTCGTTAGCTAATAACTAAATTAGAAAGGGCTAGAATTTTAGGCTGACATAAAAAAGTAGTAATATATCAGAATATTTGGAATTTAAAAATTATACCTCTTCGCTTTTTGAACGAATTGGAAGACCTCGACGTCTTCTTCATTGACTTGACTTTTTAGGCTTAAGTTAAGGGGGCGAGTTAGACGCTAAGTCCGTTGTGTGACTGAGTCTGCCACCCCCAAGGTATCAAGTTCACACTCCCTCCTGGCCGCCCCTTCTCACTCCCTCTTTCTTCGAGAGTTTTATAACCGTGACCTAGTATCCCCTTATGGTAATTTCGCCCTTATTCTTGACCATTTTAAACTTATCGATATTTGGCCAAGAAGGAAATTGCGTGCATTAGGCAAAGCGGTTCTTGATGAAATATTACGACGTGGCAGGACTGCAACGAGGAGTTCCGTTTAGGCAAGGCCGTTCTGGAAACGATTGGGTCGCGGATTGGGACAGACAAGCAACCATCAAAAAAATCATCGATGATTTAATTGATTTATCATTTAAAAATTTGGTTGCAATTATGCAGATTCGCAAGATAATCATGAAAAAACCAGGCTATCACAACTGCAAATTCCTTCACATCTTTGCTCTTACTTTTTTCAAAATCATACACGACAGGTTACAAAAAGTAAGTCAGTGTAAGAAAAAAGACTAGAATATTTATAGTCTAAAAAAATATCCAGAACTATACGTCTGACACCAGACAACAACCACCTCTTGCCGAGATGGTCCAGTTCATGATATGTCACCAACAAGAGGGTCGACGGAGGACCAATCAGGTCAACAGTAACCGTTCTTAGGAGTCGGTACATACCAGGTAAGAGCCATCGTCTGGAATCACTTCACTCGCGTGCCAAATCGCATACAATCCCTCTGTGTAAACGCTACAGTGCGGTGGGAGTGACCAAGAAGTGGTCCCTCGTAATACACGGTGCCACACCATCGCCGGTCTATGAGAACGAGGCGAAAACCAACGTACCTTGATATAAGTTCCAAGAACTTAGTTTGGTAAAGGTATGGCTGAGTAGACGACTTGGCTAACACGGCTAGACGAGTACGACCGGTTGCCAAGCTCGAGAACCGTTCCCATTATCATCCCACGTCATCACCTAAGGGCTTATTCCCAGCGGTCACGTCCCGGCCTGAAGTTTCTCGTGTATTCTGCTGAACTGACACATGAAAGCGGAAGTCTCGGTTTGGCCAGAAACCCCGCCGCACAAGTGGGGGTAAGCTGCTCTCTCCGAAGTTCGGGCCGCAATACTCCCAGCTCCTTTTTCTTCCTACCTGATGACTACCTACTTTTTTCCAAAGAAAGATCCTCTCTACTTGTACCGGGTGATGATTTATAAGCTACACCGCTTTTATTTCTTTTGTTTGGAAATAGTTAAAAAAAACTAGGACTGATCTTTACATATTTTTTACGTACAATCTGAATCTCAAGTACAATACTCAAGTCAAATATCTATAACTATACTTAGTCAGCAGTCTGATGCGGAATCCCCACACAAGACAACACACAACACCTTAACTTGCACAACTACGAGGACTTCTATAACCGAAATCCGTTTTGACCGTCAACACTAAACTAACCTTATACAAGACTTTACTACGACCACATACGGAGAGGAACTGTGGGGCTCTGCCAACACCAGGGCATCCAATCCTTCCAACCAAAAGTCCTCAGGTAAATGGTTAAAGCCTATTACTTCACTAACTTCACTATCCACGATCTCAACATTCCTTTTGTCAACGAACTGGCCCTGATTCCAAAACTAATACAATAACCTCTCCATCCATCCTAACCCTACTGCTCGAGCCCTTTTACACATACCCATCCCGAGAACCCGCCACGATGATGGCCTCGAGACCTGCTTGCCCCTTAATCCCACACACTGAGTCCCAGTATTGGCTCGCTTCTCATAGCATGTTTCCTTCGGTGTATCGCTGACAGTAGTGTTAGTACTATGAGCGTGTAAAAAAAAAGTACTGTGATCACATTTGCATAATATATTTGATATGTACAAATAGGATAAAAAAAAGCTTTAAATTAAGTTAAATTTATAACTAGTTTTCCAGCAAAACATTTCAGAAAGTAAGAAAGAATGTAAAAATACGCCTTATAATGTTTTAGTTTTACGTTGTATCACGTTTTTTTGGGGGGTCTTCAATGGGTATTTTGAAATATATTTCATTGTTTAATTATAGGAAAATAGCAAATAATCAATTGTGCAATAATAAAATAATTATTAAATTACATTAATAACGTGTTAACGTTAACGACCTATAATATCCACCATTACAACTGCTTGTTTTATTTTCACCGAGCATAGATATTGTAGTTTTAAATAAGGTTTTTTTGTTGTTGTTATTAATTAATTTGTTTCACTTTCATTAGAATGTGCAAAACCAAAACTGACCAAGCAACTCACATGCCAACAGCCCAATTGGATTACATAGTTTTAGTTTTCCGTACGGATTCGGAACGAATACTGTTTCACTCTCTGATGCATGATATCTCGCTCTGTCTCTCTCTCTGTGAGAGAGAGAGAGAGAGAGAGAGAGAGAGAGAGAGAGAGAGAGAGAATGAGTGAGAGGAAATGGAAACTAGTTCGCATTTCTAAGCAAGGCAGTAGGAATGAAGGAAGGGTATGGTCAGTATGACCTCCTTCCCAGTCACGCCAAACTACATCACGGAACATCAGCCTCTTAAACCAGACGTCTTGAAATGTTTTTTTCAATTCCAAGCCACCCAAAACACACAAAAAGACAGAGAGAGGGAAAAAACGAGAGGGTAGTGAACTGAGAGGACGAAGAGAGAAAGAGAGAGAGAGGAATCTTTAGATTAATAAAATAAATAAAAATATAAGAAAATAGCAAGAATCTTTACCAAAGCAATAAAACAACATTGAAATTAAGAACATCTATTGTACTGTCTTCGGTTCTATTAAAATGTGAACCACAATCACTACATGAAACGAGGGTTCACCGAAGGTTTTTGATTTTAAAATAAAATAAATTGAAAATAACATTTTTATGTGTGTTTAGTATTTAATTTCCCCACTTGTGTACTATAATAGTGAAATTTTGTGTTCTTTTTATAAGATGTGTGTGAAAAAGAGCCATTTTGAATCGTCCGGCTTGTAGAAGCTCCAAGTTTTAAAACAGAAGCATAAATGAACTAGATAATCTCTGTCATATGTAGTTTTTCATTTGAAGGATTTTTCAGCCAGGGAGGATTTGAAAGGGCTGAAAAGGGTTAGGCTCGGTTCGACACGATTCACGTCCCAGTCGGTTCATTGATCCATCGAAACAGAAATTTTACGCTTTACTCACTTGTGAAGGCTGTAAGCACTGAAGATAAGCAGCGAGGGAGGGCGAGCCTCGCTCTGCACATGTTTGTGCTTAAAGATAGCACCCGGAACTGGTCTAATTGTTTTGTTGGTAAATAGGGCACTATAGCAACCTTGTCAGCGGTTGCGCTCTCCATTTATCCACAATGTACACCCTCCATTTTTTTTACACAATGTACTCGGTGCAAAGCTAATGGCTCGCTCTTTAATTTTTCTAGGAAATAACTTACAAGGAAAAACAATGATAACAATAATACAAATAATTTTAATTATTATGTGTGGTGTTTAGTGACCGTTAGTTAATGATTATTTAGAGATCGTGAGATGTGATCTGGTGTGACGTAGGGTTTAGAAAAACATTTTCTTTATCGTGCCAACATTTCGATCTTTATTGATATCATCTTCAGGGTTCAAAGTGTTTGTTTGCTGTGTAGATGTGTCATTATCGTGTGTCGTGTTGAGAGGTCATTCATGCGTGGTTTATAAATCCCAGGCCCTGAAGATGATCTCATTAAAGATCGAAACGTTGGCATGATAAAGAAAATGTTTTTCTAAGCCTACATCACACCAGACCGCATCTCACGATCTCCAAATAATCTTTAATTGTTATGCAAAATATGATTGAGTAGAAAAATCAGTGTCACGAGCGGGCCTCGAACTCTCCCTTCGCTCATTACACTAATTTTTCAAATCAACCATACATTGCATAATAATTAAAATAATTTCTTTGGTCAATAGAACCAACTACAAAACACCTAATACATATAGTATCAATTCGTCATCAACGTTCTATCGTTGGATATAACATCTAGGCCGACATTACTATCACAAAGAGGTTATCTATCATCCATTCAATCTTCAGTTTAAAAAAAAGGATAAATGACAAAACAATCTAACTGTTTGATAATGCAAGTCAGTTTATTACTAGACAAAATACAGAAAGGGTATTCGAAAGAAGAAGAAAAAAAGCTTACGTGAAAGAAATAATGAATGATAGAAGGACAAACTGACAAAAATAGATTCGCATTAGATTTTAAACAGGTTTAAAGATTGAAAAGGTGCAAAATATGGATAATTTTTTGAAACCTGTTTTTGTTTTTAGGGTAGGGTTTTTTTTAGGTTGGGGGGGCGGGTTTGAATAAGGATTTTAAAAATCCTTTCCTCCACTGCGACCTATTTAGTTCTATTGAGGTACCCCTATAAATTATAACAACACTTTGGAAAGTGCACTTTTTCATAAAACACTAAGGTTGTTTGTGAAGCAAAAAACTTACACCACTTTCCTTGGTGCCTCTTCGTGCACATCTTTTGGTGTAAGAATTGCCTCAGAAGTGGCTGTACCGTAACCTACACGGTACATTCACAAAGTATACATGTCGATACCTCCGGTTCCTCCTGCCAGAGTCGGTATGTTTCTGTCTCTGATTTGCCCATCTTCTTTAAGTGGTAGTTAAGAGGGCAGTTACCGGTGTAAAGGACTATAATTTTCCTCAAATCCTGCCTACTGAGAGAGAGAGAGAGGATGTCCTTCGCTTTTTACGAGAGCTTTATACATCTCTTAACTTGCCTCATGGCTCATACCTCCTGTGCTTGAGTTTTTCTTTTTCAAGCAATTTTCTAGTTCTAACTACGGTGCACCTACTCATGGTTCTGGGCCCATGGGTGAGAGGGAATTATAACACAAGTAAATATTATAATGGTAAATACTGTAACAAATTAATTATAAATTAATGATTAAAGATAAAAGATAAAAAAAAAGAATAATACCTTAATATTATTAACTTATTGTAAAAATAATAACAATAAAAATATTAATTTCATTATTTGGACGTTTAATATTATTTATGTACAATGGGAGGTAGATCAAAATATATTATTCCGAATTTGTTGTAAAATTCCGAAAATTTGTTCGATTTAGGCAAGTGTTCTTTTACTCTCTAAAATTCTGCCCTTAATTTGTCTCATTGTTTTTACCAATAAATATTTGTTTATGCTCTGTTTTAAATAGGGAATATCAATTAGAGGTAATCACCCTTAATCCTTATTCCAAAAGAAGGATAAAGTATTTTTCAATGTTTACTTTCTACGGAATTTAAAATGTTTATTCGGTCTCATTTGAATTCTCAAGCAAATAAACTATCTAGTTTTCAACTTTGCTTTCTTAATTTCAATTTTTAAACTTAAAAATGCCACATAGTGCTGAGGATGTTGCGCGAGGTGGGACACTTGCTGATGATGGACATTCCATAGAAGGCCCGTTTCTGAAAGTCTTAGAATAACAGAACGACAGGATGACCGTTTTTTGACTTTGAGAATTTTGAGAAACCGGCATCTTACTGTTGTTAAAGCGATTCATCAGCTCCAGGAAGTTCGAGGTGTCTAAATTTCTGAACGCACTGCTCGAAGAAAATTAAATCATTAAAGATTAATGGCTTTTCGGCCCGTAAGAGGACCAGAATTGACCAGAACACAGAGTTGCACAGCTCGCATTTGCTCGAGAACACAGCCATTGGTCTTTGGAATGGTCTGCTATACGTTTTACAGATGGTTGTAGATTTGCTCTACAATCTCCAGATGGTTAGAGATGGGCGTGAGAGAGTGTGGAGAAGGCGAAATGACAATTGTATGACAATACAACAAGCCTGTAATTTCCCCCAGAGCCAACCTTTTTAACATAGCTCAGTGATGGTGTGAGCGGGAATTTCAATGGAGTGTCGTACAGAGTTGGTTGTTGTTCGTGGAGGGTGGTTGACGGCCACTCGCTATATGGATAAAATTTTGGAACATCATGCGTTGTCTATCCTCGATTAAATCAGCGACAAATCTATTCTAATGCACGATAATGCCAACAGATACAAACATATCTTCAACAGCATAACATCAGGGTCTTAGCCTGGCCAGCCCGTTCTCCGGACTTGAACCTCATCCAATATTTATGGGATAACCTCAAAATACGAATAAGAGCACGTCCATCACTTCCTCATACGCTCCACGATCTTGAGAGGACTCTTTGTGAAGAATAGGCTAACCTACGCAAAGACATTTCCAGGCTCGTAGAAAGTATGCCGAGGCGTCTTCGAGATGTAATTAAGGCAAGAGGTGGAAATACGCAATAGTGAAATTTTAATTAAAAATCTAAGTAAGACAAATTATCTCTTTCCGTCTTTTTTATTTTTTTTTTTAATTTTCCTTAACAATTTACCTTTTTAAAAAACTTTTTTTGACAAAGATCAAGTTATATTACAAGTGGGTGGAATTTTATTGACGTCTGTCAGTGTATTTAATGTGGTTTTTGCTAGAACATAATGCCACTATATTACAAAACAAAACGCAAAATATTATTTAACCAACAGTTTCCAAGCTTCTCCTTTTCCGTGACGTCACAAAAGAGATTGGGACGACGTGGAGGGCTTAAATGGACAACTGGTCTGTTTTGTACACTCTGCAATTTGCATTAACAAGTTTGGGAGGTTGCAAGTCTCATTCTCGACCATTTGGCAAGGAATAAAAAAAATGTTAACATTTCTCAAAATTTTGACGAGACAGTAACTCAAATTTTGCGGATTTTCTTCAATTTCTACAGCAAATCGTTTTAAAATGAACTACCAACAAGGCGGAAGAATGGACGGCCAAGGTAAATACACCTATTTCATGTCATAATAATGGATAAATCTCTAGAAAGATGTGTCACTTAGCTGTAAACATGCACGTCGTAACGATTTTTTTTAAATTAGTGTAATGTATAAGCTTTTAGCTTTTATAAGCCTTTAGTCGCTTTTCGTTCGCCCTTGGTTTATTAACATTTCCCAATTTATTTTTAACCGTTGAGTAATAATTTATACCCTGGTGGTGTTTAACTTGTTGTGTTTCTTATACTGCATTCCGTTTTCAATTAATAAAACCCTCAGTTCAAATTAATTGGGTGATAATTGATCGTACAAGCTCCCTTCCCTTTTAGCATTTTCAACAGTTTCAGTCTTTATTTTTTATTATTACACAACTAGTGAATCCAATTATTCAATATAAATTACATTATTCTGTCATTCAGAATGTTTACAAACGTCCCTTTTAAACAAATAAAACGACCCTAAAATTTCTACATTACTTATCACACATTTCGTTAACCTGTTGGCATACAATGACGAGTTGGGGGTCATTATTCATTTCATGCGCCAATGTAGATTTGACGAGTCTTACTAGAGCTGTTTTCAGCAGATGCTGTGCAGTATAATATTAGATTATCGTTGATTCAAGATGTCTCACATTCTCAACAGTACCAATAAAAAAGTTGCATCCACAAATCAGTAAATCAGAAAAAAATTGAAAGCAGCATTCAGTAGTAGTATAGTAGTATCATACTAGACAATATTAAAGTTTAGTAAAAATTACAAAAAGCAAGTAACATGTATAAGTCAAATGTATTATATGAAAGTGATGATATTAGCCCAATGGCCTAGTCTAGTGATGATGAGATTGTAACCGGTCATCTTACTGTTGACTATTCAAGTGATGATTCAAATTCAAGTAAAGCTATTTTGTTCTTCAAAATTTGTGTAAATGTGCAAGACCTATATCAAACAGTGATGATTCTGACATAGCAGAGGAGTATCAATCCTTTAGTTTTAAAAAGATTGGGAACAAACGTAACACCTTTGTGTGTTTTGAAACAAGTTGTATCCATCAACTTTTTTGAAATATAGAGAAACAAATAGATAAGATAAGCTCAAATAAACATGGAACACAATACGAAAATGACCCAAGAATAAGAGTGGTTTCCATTAACAAATGATGAAATCAGAGCATATTTTTGTGTATGCAGTATAGTGTCACAGATAAAAAATCTAAAATTGATATGTATTGGTAAAATGATAAATATTAGAAACTTTCATCTTTTCGCAAATTATACCTTGTCGATGTTTCTTGTCTATAATGCAATTTCATCATTTTGTGGAAAATGGGATGATTTATAAAGAAGACAGAAGAAGAAAGGTTCGATCGGTGATCGATTACTTGAATAACAGATTCCAACAATTATACATTCCGGAAGAAAATGTAGTCGTAGACAAATTACTAATGAAATTCATAGGGCGGCTGAATTTATAGCATTAAAACAAGCGAGATTTGGAAATAAATTTTAATAACTTTCCATAAGTAGACAGGAGTTTAGTTGAAGGTATGACAAGAAAAATATGAGCACTTTCAAAAGTTAGAGGAAGAAACATGAAATGCTGATGATATTAGAAGATAAAGTAACTCATTTTTGTAAGTTTTAATTTTTTCCCTTTTCTTTTATAAATTGAAAAAAAAGAACATTTTTTAATTAACTTTTAACTTTAAAGTTTAATTTAACTTTAATTGAACAATTTAACTGTGATATTTAATAAAACAAAATGCTGCTTTAATGTAGTTTGCCTTTGTATCTTAGTATATTACAATATTTGATGAGTATTTATTACTACTATCTATTACTACTTATAACATTCAGTTTATATTTATATATTTCAGTCGCGTCATTACAAAATTTTTTTTTTAAATTTTTTCAATAGCCCTATTGTTCAATATTAGCCAGAGAGAGAGAATCAGACAATGAGATTAATTAATTGCATTCTTGGTGGAAGGGGGTGTGAAAAAAAGGCAGGGGTGACAGTGGGAATTGAACCCATGACCGCGAGATCTATGAGCCGAGAATCTAATTTGCTGATCAGCTACCATGTTCCCCCAGAAAACAAAACAAGTTAAACTTCACAATAATAGGAGATGAAAAGAGTGAAGAACGAATTAAAAAAAAAAAAAGTAATTACTAGTTTTGAACCTCTATAGTATTGCTATGACAATTTCTTCTATTTTGATAGTCATTTCGATATAACTTATGATTTTTCCTTCTTGACGGTGGGATAATAGGTCATCTATTAACTTTCGATATAAGTTCATCGTTTTAATGCTATTGTGTTGATACATTAATATTTTATGCTTTCCAGGGTACCCTGGCCAAGGCCCTCAACAAAATTATTACCAGCCGATGCCAAACATGAATAACGACCAGTCGAGATATTATCCAACTCCAGACAGTTTTTCATCCACTCCTCACAATCAGTCACAGTATATGAGTAAGTACAATTGCTTATTTGACAATTCAAATGACAATAGCTACAATGAATAAATATTATGAAAAAGTTCAATGTTTCTTTTTTTGTGGAATTTTTCTTCAGTTTTTATTTTATTGTTAAAGTTTTTGGACCAATGCTTGGCCTCTCCTCAGTCTTCTGTCTTATGTGTGAGATTTTAACATAACTAGTAAATTACACTGATGAACAAATTTAACACACAATTCAATTTATTTAGTTTAAAATTAAATCTATGATTTTCCTCAAGTAATTAGGAGCTATCGTAATCAAAATAAACAGTAAATAATGCTTTGTTTACTTCCTTTATTTACTTTTGTACTGAATAATCCATTTGTTCAAAAACTAGCATTACACCCTTCAGCATTACCTACTAGCATTACCAAGAGGGCAAGTTCTCTTTACAGATGAGGTGAGAGTTGGCCTCAAATGCTCATGCCTAACGATTGCTTTCAGTTAATCTTTTTCCTTCGTTGATTTCATTTGACAATATTCTTATTCTTAACCCTTTTTCAATGGCTCCAGTCAGGCATTTGAGTGTGACAGTGTCAGTGTCATCTCATTGTGCCAGGAGATTGAGTGTAAATCACTCAAAAATAGGAGGGATTCTTTGGCATTTCAGAAAAAAAGGGCTTCATGGTCGATCTAAGTCTACCGACGAGAGAGAAATCAGGCTCTACGAAACTGCAGCATTATGGGGAATGAGATAAGAAATCTGATAAGACTCGTCCAAAATGTTTCAATTTCCTCTAGTACTGTACGATGAAGGCTCAATGAAAATAACCTCAGGACTTGGCACCCGGACCTGTTCTTACCACAGTTTAGAAAATGACCAGCTTTCAATTCACACAGGAACATGCCAATAGGACATTGGAAGATAGGGGGCAAGTTCTCTTTACAGATGAGGTGAGAGTTGGCCTCAAATGCTCAGAAGGACGTAATTTCATATTAAGTTCTGGTGGCTTCCATGGTGGGACATTGAAGTTCTGGGGTGCCATTTCCTTGGACACCTGAACCGAATTGGTCATTGTGCGAGGAAGATCTCACACTTCACAGAGGTACTTGACATAATCAACAAACATGTAGTAGAAGTGGTGAATAGAAATGGTGAATGATGGAGTGAGTGCGGTGTTCAATCCTTTTTTTTTTTTAAGATAGTTCTACTCACAGTAAGTAAGTAGTTAGTTAGTAAGTAGTTAGTTTAAGTAAGTAAGTAAGTAGTTAGTAAATAGTCACAGTTCGAAGTCAAGATTTGAACCCGATCAAACACATTTGGGACCAACTTAAGCGACGAGTACGACGGCAAAACCCAGGTCCTCTAGAAGAATTGAAAATGGCTGTTCTTGATAAATGGGAAAGAATTCCCTAGCATTTTATGAGAAATCTTTTCCAAGGGATGCAAAGGCAGTTAAGGGACATGATTCGTGCCAGAGATGGAAATAGTGGTAATACTAAGACAAAAAAAATTTTTAAACTCTTTTTTTTTGTTCTTGACTCAATAATTATTTTTTATAATTAGGTAATGAACATACTATTTTTAAATGTCTTATTTTTACAACCAAATTAATTTTGGCATGGAAAATATGAAAAACCTAAATACATTAAAATTTAAGTGCATTAATTTTGTCCATCAGTGTATTTGTATTAGTTATAACCAGTTTTTGTGTATATTAATTTTTATGCAAAGAAGGTTGAGATGAAAAATTAGTGTCAGGATCTGAACTCGAACCCACGACATCCGGATTAGTGCTCCGGTGCTATTTGACTTCAGTCCTCGAAACACCAACTCCTAAACCCAACTGACAACTATTTAAATTTTCCCTCTTTTGCCACCACTACTCATTACTAGTCAATATTCAACATAAACTGGAAGACTGAGGATGGGATGAGTGTTGGTCTGAAGGCTTTCGAAATAAAATAAAAACTTATGGAGGAAGTTAAAAAAAAAAACTTTTTTGTCAGATGTTATGCTTATATCTTCATAAGCTTTATAATTTATTAATGCAAATTATTACAATTTATAGATGACCCTCTTCAAAACTTTCAAGGTAGGGCAGTGGCTGAAGCTGCGATATTTTATGGAAGCAAAATTGTAGGAACTGGTAGGGAAATGGTCGATGAGAAAATTAAAAAATACAAGTCTATATATATGATAAGACATTACTTTGCTGTTGATACCAGTTATGTTCTTAACAAATTAAAACTTATCATATTTCCATACAGTAATAAGGTAAGTCTCACTTAACAAATAATTTTGAAAAATGAATTTTGATCGCTTTAATAATCATGAATGTGTTAGTTTTGTTATATAATTTATAAGTGAATATTCTATAAGAATATTGACCACATCATTGTTATGTTAATTTAGGAATATTCAAATTTGTCCATTCTTTGTCTTTAGTTGTAAAATGTGAAAGCGTTTTATTTCAATTATTATGCATTCAATTTATAATTTATATTTCAATTAATTCTTCTTCTTATGTAATGTCTTGGTAGAGATGAAAAAGTTAGTGACACGAGCGGGATTCGAACCCACGACCTTTGGCTCAATATGCCACTGCTCTAACCACTTGAACTATCATGAGTAGTTAGAGCAGCGGCTTATTGAGCCGAAGGTCGTGGGTTTGAATCCCGCCCATGACACTAACCTTTTCATCTCAACCAAGACCTTATATAAAAATAATAATTAATGGAAGTAAGTAATTTGGTCAATTAGACCACTAAACATAAATAGATTTATAATTTATACTTCAACTAAGTTGTGTAGAAAAATCTGTGTTGATCGTATGTTTCAGGACTGGTCTAGGAAATACATCGATTCTGTCCCTGCTAAGCCGAGATATGACGTTAATTGTCCTGATTTGTACATACCTTTGATGGGTTATGTAACGTAAGTGTTTTAAATGAAAATTGTTTTGTGAAAATTAAAGTTTGAAGGGTGGTTTAAGGTTAAAAGGAGTTGGCGTCTTTACAACTAATATTGGTCTATTGTGAAAACTCCATTATTGTTTAGGGCTCTTTGTTAAGCTTAAGGCGTTTTAGCAGATCTAGAAGTTTTTTAAGGACTAAAATTAGAAGTGTAGATTTAAAATAAAACTTTTATAGGATTTTTTTGTTGATTTCATCCTTTCTTTCCACACTCAAAATGACATGTACTCTAAATCTCATTGAAATAAACTGAATGAAGAGAGATTAAGCTTTAAAATTGTTGGAATAGGTTGAATTAGGATAAAATTCGGAGAAGCAACTTTTAAATGGAACCACTGGACATCCGCGAGAAAAAAATTCGCCCTGGGTTGATCCAGTATAAAACTTTATATTTTTTATTCACTGTAAAAATTTGTATTTAAGGATTTTAATGGGTGCTTTAACGAATCTGATTTTTTTCTTTCAACATCATCATGTTTTTAAAAAATTATTTAAATTACTTAAAATATTTTTCTTTGCTCTTAAAACCAATTGGCAAAAAAGGTCTGGCACGTGTTAATATTTTTTGACCTAGTTTTATAAAAAAAAGTTAATTGAAACCATGTTCCCAAATGCATAGATAGCCTCCTCTTATCAGCATATGCACATACTATACAATTTAATAAGTTCTATCTGGCATATAAATTAGCTTATGTCGTTAAACTAAATTTTGTAAAATACTAACAACTTCTATAATAATTCTAAACAAAGGAAAGATTTATCATAAAACTATTACTTAAATTAATTATTGATCATCTAATTATTTCTAAGTAAGAGTATTTATTTGTATTTGGTGTTTTTTGTAAAATTTTTAAAAAGCCATTTCTTATGTTTGTTTAGTTGATTGTTTACATACATTATTGAGCTAATGCAAGTGAATTTAACATCTTAGTGATTCATATTTCAACCATGTTCTTTCTCCTTTTAATTATTTCTTTTGTGACTATTTGTTTATGCATTATTCTTTGTTTCTTTCTTTGTGTACTGTTATGAAAATTTTTTAATATGTTGACAATTTTTTTCCAGGTATTTATTAGTCGTGGGACTTGTGCTCGGAATACAGAATCGTTTTGACATCGAAGTCCTTGCGAAATTAGCATCTCAATCGATTGCCTTTATTTTTCTGGAAATTGGCATACAGCTCCTAACGTTGTATATTACAAATATACAAACGAATGTGACAGCCTTAGAACTAATTGCTCTGTCAGGGTACAAGTTTATCGGGTATGTCACACTCATAACTGGCAATCACTGTTTATATAAAAACTGAAAAATAATTAATCATCAATATTAACAAACTTTATTGACAATTGGCTGAAGCTTACAACAAACAAAAAAATGCTTGAAAGATAAGAGAAATAAGCAATTATACACCTACATTTGGTCTTAAATAATTTATTTCATTTGTTTTAATGAATATTTAAAAATAGTTACATTCCATGAAAGAGTTAATGCTTTTTTCAGTTCAAGCTGCTATAATTCATAAGTTCAAAGTTTGTTATATTCTCTTATAAAATATAATTTTTAGTAATTATTTTTAACTTTATAGTGTTTAATCTTATTTTGTGTTTCTAACTTTTTTTAAAGGATTATAATAGCAGCCTTGTTGAGTATAGCATTCTACAAAAAAGGATATTATGCAGGAATAGTGTACTGCAGCGCATCCTTAGCTCTTTTTATGGTAAATCTTCTGTTTAATAAGTTTTTTAAATTATTATTAAGGTTTGTGTTACTGTATTAATCCATATATGTTTAGCGGTCATAATTATTTCAATTAATTATACTTTGTTTTTCTAAAATCTTGGTTGAGATGAAAAAGTTAGTGTCACAAGCGGATTCGAACCCACTGCCTTTGGCTCAATACGCCCCTGCTCTAACCACTTGAGCTTTCGTGACTTCATTTGTGTTTGGCTTTGTATGTGGCTCTATGATGTTCAATGTTCCTATCTCTGAGTGATGTTGGAACATTTAGCATATGCGCGTGTTTACTTTTTTGTGTGGATGGAAAGATTGAAATATACAAAACACCAGATAATACTCATACACATTGTTATCATTGCTTTTCCAGATTGTCCCAATACATGGAGCAAACAAACAAAATCAACCAAACGAACAATAGCTTATTTATAAAAAGATCCTACCCCAAACAACACCTGCTAACATTAGTTTCCACATCCTTAACCCAATCCCAGTTTCTCCTTGCTGCTTCTTAGGCACTCAACAGTTGATTCCTCTTATGTAGGGCTGTTCTTCAACTTGTCTGAAGAACCTCAACTGCTTCCTTGTGTTGTTGCATAGGGGTTGGCCCATTGCTCAAAGCTATTATGTTGCTTTGCGAACAGCCAAGTATATTACTTTTATCTTTTTCAAGGCCTTACTCAATCCTACAGTCCTATTTGTAATGGATGCAAGGGGGGTTTCCAGGCACAAGTCGAGAGGCACTGGGTCATAATCACCATGCATAGTTGTCATAATGGACGGCGGGTGTGCAATCAATCACACATGTGAACCAGATCCTGTTTGAAAAGACGGGTAGGAGCCATATCAACTGAACTACAAGCATAAGCATCGTCCATGCTCAATTTCTTGCAATTGCAGTTGAATCCATAGTGGTACATGGGTAGACATCATTTAGGGTGACGTGGTCGTTCAGTTTGTTATATTTGCCAGATGGAAATGCACTCCCCTAAGGTGGTTGGCATTTCCACTTAAATCCAAAGCTGTTGTCAGAACTTTATCCAGAAGTCCGCTAGAGGGGCCCCTCCATTTGGGGGTGATCTAACCGCCAATTCTATCTATAGGAGTATGTGTAAAGTTCAGGCAGAACCTTTGAGCTGCTTCTCGGCATGCGACACACGGGTGGTGTTTTTTTTTTTTTTTTTTTTTTTTTTTTTTTTTTTTTTTTTTTTTTTTTTTTACCCTCAGTGCAGGAACATCAGCACAAAATCAACAATCATGGAAACAACAAGTGAAAGGCCATACCTCCTCCACCTGAATGTAATATCCCTATGAGCCGCCTCAGCGAGGCCCATCCTGGACACATTTAATGTGACAAAGAGCTCGGCAGGTGGAGTTGAGATGCGACCGTTTGGTTAGCAAAGAAAAGCACAATGAGAAAACAAAAAAGAACAGGAGTGGGGAGAGGAATGAGCAGGGATTATTATTATAATTATAATTATTGGTACCAAATATATATATTTTTTTGTATTATTATTAGTATTAGTATTTATTTATTTATTTTTATTAATTTTTTTAAAATTTATTTTATATTTTTATTTTTCCCCCTGCTCGTTCACTCTGACCCCCAAGTTCAAATGCTTCTGTCTATAATTAAAAAGCTACACAAAGATGAAGGCCAAATAAACTGTAAAGAGCTGGCAACAGCTTCAGGAACAGTATTAAGAAAGAAGGCCAAGACGGTTGGGTGCATTGTTGTCAACCCATCCTGTTGGAAGGGGCATGTGGATAAGAAACTTAGCCTTATCGGTCCAGGCATTTTTCTACACATGAACTTATGGGTTTAGCACACACTAAAAAAACTACTGTTAAGGCCATGTGCCAGGTGCGGTCGAAAAAGAACTTCATTATCACCTTAGGGCGAGGCAACTTTTGGGGGACAATAGGGAACTTTTGCTCCCTTCATGTCTTTGATTGAGTCCTCCTGGCTGCTGACTGGCTAATCGATCTATATAGTGCCCAGTGAAGGAAAGGATTTTTATATTGTTTTTGTTTTTCCAATCTTCTTTTATGTTGGTTTCACAAAAAGGGTGAAGGAAAGGAAAAGCAAAACCATTGGGCCTGATGTCAACTTCCTTCCTGTAAAGTTTGGTCATGACCTGTCCATCCGTGCAACAGCTCGTAATTCTAGGGAGCCTTTGTTACGCAGCCCCCTGGCCCTCCAATGAAGGGAGTACATACCCTATGCCAATTTTTCAATGCCAACTCAACTTTTTCCACTTGTCTACCCCCTCTAGGTTTTTTTGGGAAAGGTTTTTCAGCTGTCAGATTTACAGCGTATATAAAAAATGTGTACACAATTATTAACACTATTGCCTTATGTTAGCAATTATTTTCAACTCATTAATTCCAACTTATATTAAGATGAAGGCGTGATTAAATTTTTTTGTACTTTCAGGTTCGCACACTAAAGCTGCAAATACTTTCTCATTATGGCAGTAATGATATGTCAGCCACTGGATATGTTAACGACCCTTCAGGATACAGTGGCTATTCAGATCATGGTGGCTCATATCACAGCGCACTGATGGGTAAGAGGCAAATGTACTTCCTCGCTTTTGTAGCAGTCTCACAGCCTATATTTATGTGGTGGCTGTCATTCAACTTGGACGCCAATCAATAAACTACCGACGGCTGCAGTGAATTTCTATCCATAAAAAAGTCTAACCATTTTTTTTCTTAAGAAAAAAATTGAAAAAATACAAACGATCATAGAGCACTTATTCGTTGTTTAAAAATTTAACTGTTCATTCTTAACAAATTTTTTTAGGTATGATGTTCATTTATCACAGATTTTCTTTCTTATAAAAGTATATTTTTTTATTTTGTATCTTGTGATTCAGACATGTTCAAATATATTTTTGTTTAAAATTATTTAATTAATTTATAGCAAAGTAATTTTTTTCTTATTATATACAATTCGTTTAACCTTTTTCTAAGAAAAATACTTTGCATTTGAATGCATATTTTTGTAAAGACGTAATCTCCATATTCCTACATTTTCCAAATTTGTAAATAAAATAGTAGTTCGAAGCTTTTGAAATTTTTTTATTGTCCCTGTCTCCTAACTGTATCCCTTATCATATTTGCTGTCTGTTTGTTGTGAGTTTGTTACAAGAGAAAACAGAAACAAACATTAAAAAAACTGTAATCAGTAGGTATAATTAAAAATGAAAAATAGTCCTATTAAAAAATAATTGCAAGATTTATTGATGTTTTATACAAATTGCAAAAAACATATTTGACTCAAATCTCATACTCCAGGCATAATTAATTAAAGGGCGCATACCCACCCAGTTAAAAATTAAATAGTTTCTTCCCTTGACGTTTTCTTGTTGAATAAGTGGCCATTACCATTCAGAGTTCAGGGCACACCCAACAAGTGATTGATAAGAGACTTCTTCGCACATTTAAATTTAAAAGCAAGTTCAACTTCAGAATTATTTTGCAAATGCAAAATTTTTGGGCCTTCCAGAAACACAATCCAAAAAACGTGGGTATACCGCTGGAAGTTAGTTGAATGGTTAACTTTTGAGGGAATTTGCAAAGCTCCAAGAGTTCGTAGTTATTAACATTTACCACAATATTTTCAAAAAATAAGAAATTTCAACATTTTTGTTTTTTCTGATTTTTTTGTGCAGAATTTTTTCATCAATTCTGCAATGTAAATAGGTTTCCTTACTGAAAATTTAATGTTCTTTCAGGTGGCACAAACCAGATTTTTCTGCAGTCGGTAATCCTGAAGTTTATAAGCAATTTAGTGGACCTAAGTAAAAAAAAAGCTCTAAGTTTCTGAGCTTTTAAAAAAAAAAAAAAAAAAAAAAATCATATTTTTCATGAAAAAAAAAAAAAAAAAAAAAGGAATTTTTTTTTACTCTTCCAACAGTGCAATTCTCATTCCTGATAATTCTCTGGAGAAAGTGTTTTGTGATGTACGTCGTATTTGTAGAAGAAATTCAACTACTGTAACCTGGCCTACTAATTAAATTACATAATGAACTAGGATCATCAGTGTGTTATTGGCATAGAATAACAGGGTACAATAACTTTCAAAGGGTGCAGTATATTACGCACCTTGAATATTGCTTCTTGTATCTTTTTACATCCTAAAGTTAAGTTTTTTTTGTGACTCGTGATGAGTTGTCTCGTTCAAGCTTATACGCTACCCAAGCATTGTGAAGTTATTTCATTATCATGTTTTTTGCATTTTAAGAGTTCTAGCTGCACATTCAAAGCATCTATTGATCTCAGATTGCATCCAACATATAGCAGACGCCTTGGTTCTGAATATGATCCTCCCACACCCATTATTTACCATCCTCATCATCAGGAAATGACACTTTTTACCTTGCCTTCTGTTTACAATGTGGCCTCTCTCAAATGTTTGCGATACAATCATTTTTCTAGGAAACCGTTTGGCCACTAGAACTTTATACCATTGGGAATGTCCTACTATCGTCTACCTCTCACCCCTACACCTTTCTCTACCATCTATTATACTGTCTTTTATGTTGAGAAGGATGGATTCATAACTTAAAAACTTCATATTTATTGACGAGCGTAACATCTGACAAACCGACAGACCCTAAAAGGACTGAAGTTGTTAACAGAAATGTTTCCTTGATTAGACTCTAAGTACATGGGAACCAACTTTCTACACCATTTCATTTTGGTTTTTAATAATAGATTTTTATCCGGGGATAAGTTTTTAAGATGGATCTGTTGATTTCCATCACAATAGATATAATAAAACAAAGTTTGAACAATTTAATAAAACAATTTTAATTAATTGTAAATTAATTTTAAAAAGAAAATTATTTTTATGTGAAGTAATTATAGTATATTGAGTGAGTTAATAAGGATGAAAGAGATAATACAATCTGATTTTTACTGTACAAAGGACAAACCAGACTGCTTACATCTGTTTATTCCATTGAAAACCCTAATATCTGAGGAGTGTTCTGTCAAAATAGTCTTTCAAATCAGTTTGCTTCAAATTTCAACACACAATGCAAAACAAATCAGGCTGGGGGGGGGGTCATGTAGCAGCCGAGAATATAGACTGAGTTTTAGCATCTTAAAATCAATCTTGAAAAGGTTTAGTTCTGCCAAATAGTACTCAATTTCCAAGTTTTTCTAGGATTCAGGAAGAGACTTAATAGTGAAGGGCTCAAAATGGTGCCTTCCTTTATCCCTGCGCTAGCCAAAAACTTGTGTGGTCTTGTATTGGCATACCACACAAATTTAAATTTTAAGTTTACTTTCTTTATATTATACATATAGATACTTCATTATTAAATATATATTGTACTGAAAGTGAAATATAGTTTAAATATATATAGTTAATTAAATATAGTTTAAAAAAGACTACTCAATAAAGGCTCAATAAACTTGAGTGTCTTACAAAAGTGGGCATGAGTGTGTATAAAAGTGGGCACAATAGACCACATGATCCGTCCATTATTCATCCATTCAATATGTCATACCTCTTGTGTAAACCTTCTTACTCCCTTATTTCAACAAATAGGATCAATTATGAAAGATTTAAGATTAAGAATTATTTATATATTATTTTCTGATTGCACTGTAAAAATTTTTCTCTTCTGGTATTGACTTGCAACCTTGAAATAATGGCTGCATGATTTTTTTCCCAATCAGTTCCTTCAGTCCATCTGGGATTATTTAAAAGAACATCTATTCCTTCTTTTATTTGCCATAGTTTGAGATGATTTTTAATTCTTTCGGCTTTGTCAGAGTTATTTGGCTGTCTACAAATTATCACTGTTTTGGTTGGTGCTTGTGAGAAGTGTGTCATCTAGTACCTCCTTAGTAAGTCACGAGTTTTAGTTAATAATCCTGATTATTACGAAGTTGTTTTTCTGTTATAAAGCCTTTGGTGTGAATGGGCTTTTCTTTGTTTATACAACAACTCCACACTTTACAATCCAGAATCAATATAGATTTCATAAGCTTCTCCAATTATGTTTCTTATGATACCTTGATTATGATATTGATCTAAAGCCTATTTTGAATTCTGATAATTAAAAAAAAATTAATGTGCATAACTCAGCTATTTATCTGATTTTCAACTATATTATTTCTGCCTTTCATGCAATGACCCCAAGCTGCTTGGAAGGGCCGCTGGATTTGAACCCAGGCCCTTTACCTTACAGTGATGTATGCCGTGTCAATGCCTAAACCATTGTGGTGCCCCCTCCTCATTATTATTATTACTATTATTGAAATAAAGGAATCAGGTATGAAGCTTTGTAGGTGAAAAAAACCACTTCTTTTTCTTCCGTCGAGCTTTCGGCCATATTTAACGCCTTCCTCAGGACATTGAAAAAATTATTTAAAAAACTTGAACATCAATTTGGACATGTGGCCCAAATAGAAGGGGCTTCATACACAATCCCTTTATTTCAATATTTATCATGAAGGCCGATATTAAACTCAACGATATTACTATTATTATTATTAATATTAGTGTGGCCAGTATTTTCTTCCTTTCATGCACATAGAATTTTTACTGAACCACTACGTCGTGTATCTTAAAACCTACGGGTAGCGTGTGGACAAGTTGTTTGGAAAGACCGAAGCACGCCTGTTAAATCAAAACAACAAGAAAGAGGATAGAATAGAAATACACTTTATTTTTATGAGAGAGAAAGATAAAGTACTATCTAACCTAAAATAACCTAACCTAACTCGTGACTGTAATTTTACCTAACCCTACCTAACATATGACCACAACCAAAAGCTAATTCGTCCCTAACCCAAATCCCACATAATGTAACTTTATTTAATGTAAAGCCTTAGCTATAACCATAGCCCTAACCTATCTTGCCCTTGTTGCTAACATTTAGCCCCTTGTAATGTAACTTTCCTTAACCCTGCGTAACTATAATCCTAACAGTAAACTAACTTTTCACTAACATTAACACTGCATAATGAAACTTTACTTAACACTACCTAACCTATAACCATAGCCCTTACTTAACCTAACTCGTCCCTGAACCTGACGCCATGTAATATAACTTTACCTAATCCAATATTTCCTATACCTATAGCCCTTACCTATCCCAACTCGTCCCTAACCCTAACACCACTTAATTTAATTTTGCCTATCCTCCCCTATAGCCCTTACTTAACCATTCCTATCATAATCTATCTTGTCTCTAACCTTAACTTCACGTAATGTTACTTTACTTTAAACCTGCTTAAAATTTAAACATAACCCTAAACTAATTCGTCTCTAACCCTAATCCCACGTGGTGTAACTTTACCTAACCCTATCTAGCGTGTAACCAAAACCTCAACCTATCCTAATTCGGCTTTAACCCTAGCCCTACCTAAATATAACCTTAACCTAACCTAACTTGTACCTAACCATAGCCTTACTTTTAACCATAACCCTGACTTAATTTAACTTGTTCCTAACGCTAACAACACCACATAATGTAACTTTGTCTAATCTTGCTTTATCTGTACCCATACCCTAGCCTCACCATTCCTAAGCTAACTCATTCCTAACCTAACCGATGAGCAGAAAAACGTATTAATGTTAAAATGACTGAAAAAAGTAAATTTGGAGGCAAAAAGACTAAATATTAACTTTTTTTAGGGACACTCATTTTAAAATTATTATATTGTATAGTGAAACAATTCCTATATATAAGCTTTGATAGCGGGGTGAAACAAACATAAAAAGTCTAACAATAAGTGGTTCAAAAATTTATTTGTCCAAAATACGAACTTTTATTACACGTTACAATATAACGGTCTTAAAGT